GTGAACGCAAATAACAACATTAGCTGGTACCAATTTTAGACTCTGTCAACCTGGGCAGTCTTGAAAAATAATTGTGATGTTGATTTGAACCCTAGATCTTTGGGCCAGCAGGCAAGCATCTAGCTGCAAGGCAACCATTTGCTGATGAGTTTAGGTCATCATAAACATTAAATGCCTTTCCAACTGGCATGGGTGATCATGCCTATCCACAATCTGTGATCCGCAACTGCGTGTATCAGTTTGTGTGTTGACACCCCTCCATGCCATGACAAAATGCTGTCAAGAATCTTCTCACACTGTCTTTCTCTGTCTCTCTTTCCACAGATCTTTCCAATGGTCACAACATGTTCCTGTTTTCTTCTTCTCATAAACATGATCAAATAGTGATGACAGTCTCTCTTTGATGTTTATAATAGGTTGTCTTCGAGTTGAAGTAACCAGGCTTTAAGTCACAGTTGACAGAGTGTGCTGACTTGAATATTGAATTCAGAATCGACATCAGAGCTTTCAGACTATTCCCATAAGTGCTGTCCGACCCCATCTCTACCAGCAAGCACAGATCCCCTGGTCACACTGTGCAGCACCATTCTCCTCAGACCATGAAAATCTATTTGTGCCTGTTCACTGTTCATATGCTCTAAAAGGACCCTTACAACGTCTAGCATGCCATGCATCAATTCACCACCAAGTGGTTCAGAACAAGCCAGTCTATCTGCCTGTTCATTTCCCAACACATCAGCAAAACCTGGAGAAAATACCCCAGAACCCATACAGGGGTGTTTAATATGAGGATAACTGCAGACAATAAATAGTACACATTAATAAAGACATTATCCTGTCATACGCATGATGTTCTTTTATACTATTTGCAGTTTACGTCACCATCATGTATTTCAAATATTAATCTGAAACCTCAAAAATGCCTGTTTCTTTTCCTCTTACTCTTTCCTCTACTCCTGGAATGTTTCATGGGGTCAGGGCAGGAAGAGATCTGTAGAACAGGCCAGCCTGTTCACTTCGTATAAAGTACTTTCCAATGTCTCTAATATTTCTGCGGTCCATATTCTGCATGGTAGAGCTCTGGCTCTGTTACCACTGGATCTGTATAGCATTGCTCTCTGTGGTGCCCTGTATAAAATCAGTCTTGTGTTACACGGCCAAACCATTTGATTTGTTGTCTACCTATAAAGTTCAGTATTAGTTCTGTGCCAACTCTCTTCTTGATATTATCATTCCTCAGACGGTCTTTCCTTGTTACACCTAGCATAGTACGTAAACATTTCATTTCTGTCATGACTATTTTTCTTCTGTCTTCTGAAGACAGTGTCCATGTTTGACACTGATAGCAGAGAGTTGGTAGGAATATTGTGTTGAACAGTGTTCTTTTAGTGTTTATATTCACATACTTGCATTTTTAAAATGGTGCCATTTGGCCTAAAACTTGACTGGCTTAATTGGCGTGAAAAGGGAACTTTACTTTTACTAGATTTCTTTATTAATACTCCTGTCTTCTGACAGACATGTAAAATCCTTTGTAGCTTTAACTGGTTTAACTGTCTCTTTTCAATTTAATAAATCCAAGAATAATGTTCAAAACATACCTTTTATTCAATAATATATTAAAAATATATGTTGTAGTTAATAACATTATGTAATACTGATTTTTAAAAAATAATAGTGCTAAACAAATAATACTCTTTGTTTCAGTACAGTATGCTGTTAATTATGCCCATATTCTCATTCTAAAGTGAGATGTGAAATATGAATGGCAATTTCATGTTTCACATTTTCCATCAATACAATAATAATTATGTGCAGAGATAACAACAGTTGTAAGTTACTGAATGCAAAAATACACATACAAAAGACAATTCAGAGACAATGTTCTAGAACAATGATTCAGAAATGACAAAAAATTCACCAGCTGGTTTGCTTTAAAAAAAAAGAAACAGGCATATTAGGCATATACTGCCAGACTGAAGTTTTATCATCATCATCAGTTCTCGTTATGCCTAGTGGCACATGAGGCTTCAGAGAGGACTTTCCATGCTTTCCTGTCCTGTGCAATCTTCAGTGCAGTTTTCCATGTCAAAGATGCTGCACTCAGGTCACTTTCCATCGTTCGTCTTCATGTTGTTTTTGGGTGCCCCCGTTTTCTTTTTCCCTCTAGTGTCCATGTGAGAGCTGTTTTGGCAGGTATATCAGAAGTCATTCTCATAACGTGGCCAAGACTGAAGTTTTATAAATGAATTCAAGTGTTTCAGCAAGCAACAGACTTGATGAGATGGTAAACCAAACAGACAAAAAATAATACTACAAATAGATAATCATAAACACTAATGTTACCAGTATAATACTGTATTCCTGTATCACAACACAACCTTGCAGTAAGGAATAATGAGACACAACATGTGTATACGCAAAAGCTAGTATCGTCAATACAGTATTATCTGGATATGTTCCCCCGAGTAATAAAAACAACACTCACCGCATCTGTGGGATCTCTTCAGAGCATGTCGCAGATGGCTGAATCTGCTGTGAAGACCCGTCAAAATATGTTTCAAAATCAATGACTTGTGTAATGATGCTATAAATAGGGATACGGTCAGGGTATGATTGATTGACAGAACTAGGGAAGTCTCTAGCGTGAGAAGCATGGGTTTTGCAGGGAGATGGTAAAAAGAGAGAATTGAGCAATTCACATGTGAATGAATGCCAGATCTGGGGGATTGGCAATGAGGTGGTCATTCTGTGACTGGACCCCAGAGTGAAAGGAAATGGAACTGAATCCAGAGGGATAAGTATGAATGTGGATCTGGTTAAGAACTGAGTGAACTTTAGTCCTGAACGTCAAGGAGCGAAGCTGTGTTGAATTAATGTTTAGGACAGCAGTTGTGTTCTATGGCCTGTTGGTTATGCCAGTCCTGTACATGCCAGTGTCCATCGTCTGAAGCCTGGCTGGAGAATTAAAGTGTGCGCAAGGTGAGCTTGCCTGAATAGCTAAGTGATTCGTTTCACTGTTGATTCTTCTCATTTGTGTTGTATTGATAAAAAAACCGTGAATTACTGTCAACTTTCGTAGATTGTCATTGACAGATGTGCTACAGTTTGAGAGAAGAGAAGTTTGGCTGGAAGGAACTGTGACATGACACCTAGACAACAGAGCTAGTGTTGAATCTGCACAAGGAGTACTAAGTGCGGAGGAGACACATTTCAACTTGTTTATCCAGTTACACCAGAACACAAAGAACTGTTTAATTGCCACATCAATGAATTGCTTCATCCAATGACATTATAACACAAAGAATTGTTTAATTGCCACATCAATAATTTGCTTCATCCAATTACATTATACAATAAAGGAATGTCTACATGTGAAAACTACTAGCTAACAATAAAAATACATGTCAAAGTTCTTCAATGAAATTAACAAGATGAAGAATATCTAATAATTTCTTAAAGCATATGAACAAAATTTATGAAAATAATTTCTTACCTTTCGTTATCAACATGTAATACTGTTTATAAAATAAATTTAGTAAATGGGATATAAATATAAAAATACTGTAAAATAAATGTTAAACATTGTATATAAATGTAACAAGTAAAGTCCTGCAGGAAAGACACAAAAAGCATGTTTGATGTTACAGGAATCCTCATCTTTTCGTTGTCCCTGCCAGAAGGTTTTCAGGTGAGAAGGCCAGAGGCCTTTATGAGGTCTGCAGCGCAGCACATGTCCTTCAATGATCCATACAGTTTGGATACAAGAATGAAATGTCAATAAACCAATTTCTAACAATTACAATTTTATGTGTAAAAACAAACATATACAAATACAGTGCAGACCGCTTAAGGTAATCTTGAATGTCGCAAATTTCTGTTGTGAAGAATAATTTATCCCCAGCAAATTTTCTTGCTTGAATTCTTATCTGGATAAGAGATATTTCTGATAATAAAAACCATTTCTTGGGTCCCCGGCGAGTTCTCCTTATCAGGTCTGAACTGTACTGTACTGTGTTGCTGGATACAAGAGTACAAGCATGGAGTGTTGTGGGGTGGAGAAGAGATAAATGTCTAACCTAGCAAATGCCCTTTTCTTCTTGGACTCTCTTACCCTTTCTGAAACATCTGTTACTGTTCATACTGTCCAAGTGTCTCAAACTACATAGCGTTTATTACACTGTTTATATTTGGTCAAGGCATATTAAAGAACGGCAAAAGTTCAGGCACTTGAACATTCTCTGTGTAAATAGTATTTTTGTACAGAAAATATCACATCTGTTCTAAACAGGTTTCATTCTAATTTGTGTGCAGAAAATAGATATGTGTGCTTTTAAAATCTGATTTTACTCTGTTTGTGCAGAAAATAGATATATGTGCTTTTAAAATCTGATTTTACTCTAATGTTTGTGCAGAAAATAGATATATGTGCTTTTAAATTCTGATTTTACTCTTAATTCTTGTGCAGAAAATAGATATATGTGCTTTTAAAATCTGATTTTACTCTAATGTTTGTGCAGAAAATAGATATATGTGCTTTTAAATTCTGATTTTACTCTTAATTCTTGTGCAGAAAATAGATATATGTGCTTTTTAAAATCTGATTTTACTCTAATGTTTGTGCAGAAAATAGATATATGTGCTTTTAAATTCTGATTTTACTCTTAATTCTTGTGCAGAAAATAGATATATGTGCTTTTAAAATCTGATTTTACTCTAATGTTTGTGCAGTAAATAGGCACATGTTTTTAAAGCTGATTTCACTCCTCTTTTTCATTAAAGGCTCATATGAAAATCATACAGTATTAAAAATATGCACTGAAACTTAAATTTTATTTCACTTAAGTATGACAACAATATGGAATTTACTCAATGAATGATAAGTACACTAAACCAGTTTCTATGTTGCAGATCATAATTTTGAAATACCCTGATAATGAGTAGCTACACACTGAAAAAGAAAATCAATATTCATTAACATAGATATTCCAATACATAATTTACTTAGGAATGTAATAATTTGATGGGACAAACGGCATTTTAGCAACCTCAGCATCCAGTAGTTTTTGTCGAACTTCAATCTTCACCTTTGTTCCATTTTTGGAGAAGTCTGTTTCAACATATCCCATTGATATATTCACTTTCAGCGATGGTGAGGGGCAACCACTTGTTGTCTCCCCTATGACCTTTGACCCATCGTCTGTGTAGATCTTAGAATGTCCTGCAAATGTGACACATGTAGTTATTATTATGAGACTGAGCACAGAGTCCCTAAGAACATCCTCTATGGTGAATTAAAGATAGGTACCCTGATAACATTAGAGGCATCCGCAGCTAAGGCGTTGCGAGTCCGACTTGTAATCCAACGTACCACGATCAAAACCCACTGCGAGCTGCATGGATTTTTATCATGGTGTGGGACGTCGCAGGTCGACCCAGCCTAAAATGGGTACCAGGATGGGCTGTCCTGGGAAAGTAAAGAAGGCTGGAGTAATGCTGACCACATTACCCACCGAGTGCTGATGGTCTGTAAAAATATGGGCGCTCTTCCCATATGCCTGATACGCCTAAAGAGGTGGAGAGGGATCTTTACTTTTTTTTTTACTTACCCTGATAACATTAAATCAGTGGTTTCCAACGTGGTTGAGGGGGGGGGGGGGGGGGGAGTGTGTCAGGCAATACTGCATAAAGTCAGGCTCCAGTCAAATTTGAACACATAAGCAGCTCTCCTAATATGTGAAGTTGCTGAACTTTAAAAAAAAATCTCTCTTCAACTGTTATCATCATCAGGTGCCTTGCCGACTGGCATGGGCGATCATGCCTCTCCACAATCTGCGATCTCCTGCAGCATGTATCAGTTCATGTGCTGACACACCTCCATGCCATGCAACAAGACTGTCAAGAATCTTCTCTCATTGTCTTCCTCTATCCCTCCTTCCACAGATCTTTCCAGTGGTCTCATCATGTTCCATTTTTCCTCTTCTCATAACATGGCTGAAATATGATGACCATATATGACTCCAACTATATTAAATTTCATAAATGGTTCCCTTTCCTAATAAATAAAAATAACTGCATGTATCTAGTTTGAACTATAAAATGAACTCTTTAAGTGTGTGAAATTTAACAGAATACTAAAAACTACTGCATGTATTAATACTAAACTATAAAATGAATTCTTTAATTATATGAAATTTAACAGAAAATATTTCTAGTTACTAAACATTACTGCATGTATCTTGTATGCAAGGTTAAACTGTATGATTAATTCTGTGACTATTTGAAATTTAAACCAACACCATAAGTATGCTTACCTCTGACTGGCGCTCCTGAAGAAATGAAACCAACTCTTCTCTTTTTTGGTTTGGACTTTATCTGTTCCAAAATAACTTTCGCTCCAGGGAAATCAGCTTTTGTCCGACGTGTCTTACCTATATAAACACAAAGTATTTGAACAATATCCTTACAATTAACTTTGGTCTGTTGGAAAAGTGGTTTAGCAGTTTATCTCAAGATTGAAAGGTTAATGGTTTGACTTCAGACTCAGTTTTAATCAATCAGCAAGTCCTTTACACAATGCATCTCTCTTCACGGCACGCCTGAAAGTCTCTAGTCAATTCTCCTGCCTTGTGTACGTTCATAGCCAACGCATCTTCAATGTCCTGTATCCACCTTCGCGGAGGTTGGCCTCTGGCTCGTACTCCAGTAGCTGTGTCCTCCATCACCGTTCTCTCCAGACCAACATGGCACTTGATATGGCCAAAATACCTCAGCTTTTGGGAGAGGATGCTGTTTATGAGCCAATTCTCCCTGATGTTCTGGTCATGCAGGATGTCAACAAGTTTCTTATTTTTCTTCTTCATCCACGGTATTCTAAGAATGTTTCCGTAGCATTTCAGCTCAAACACTCGGATTTTTCAGTCAAAGACTGAGTGAAAGTCCATGGAGAGTTGCCACAGGAAAGATGCATGATCACAAAATGTTTTCTTTACCTTGCTTCAATTTACTCATAGTCAATTATACACAAACATACATAACTTTACTCCAAAATGATTATTCTTTTTTTTTAGAAGATATCTTCAGGATTCCATGAGATTATAAACAGCATATTCAAAACAACACTGTGCTAACTGTGCCAAACTTGAATTTTCAAAGGCTAGCCTGTGAAATAATATGCCTGAGGAAGGCTGTCAACTGAAACATCCGAGACAAAGTGAGAAATTATATCAATACTACCAGACAGACTGTGGGGAACAACACATTGCACCAAATTCATTGAGAAACAGAACATCTCATTAGAATGCAACCTACTAGGCATACGTATAAAAAGATCTAATGTAAAAGCCGGTTTATCTGTGAAGATGCACTGATGCCATTCAAGACCTTCCACATTGACAAGGAATGACAACAGCTACTGCTACCTATCAAGCAATGGTTGGCAAACTGTTTCTCCCCATGACGCTTATTGGCAAAAGTGGAAACTGAACTCCAGGACTATAGAAATGTTGTGTTTGGCTAAACTACTGCAACATGTTAAATGGCTGAACTACTGCAGTATGTTAAAAACATTAAATATAATAAAGAATGTAGCAGGTTAGCTGTGCAGGCTGGCAGTTGTTAAGAAGGCACTGACAAAACAGCGGATGGATTAGTATTTTAAGACAGTGAAAAAGACACATCAAAAGAACACCGAAACACGACCATCAACATCATGAGTAATTAGCTTTTATCGAAAACTAACAGTGCAAGACAAAATATAAACAAGTATTCAGCATTACCAAACTAAATTTGCCTAGAAAAACCACACAACAGCCCCTGGCTGTTGGGTTTGGTTCTGCAACATCCTGTAAAGGATACGCAACTAACTTAACTTAATTCAGCATTACACTCCCATTTTATTATGATTAACCAGCAGGAATCTTTCATCACCCCCTTTTGCTAAAATACTTCGCCATGTGGGTTCCAGAGACCCGCGTTGAATGGGGAAAAAAAATAAGACCCACCACCTTTTAAACAAGCATGTCATGAAAAGTGGTGAATGAAGGTTTTGCTGAACTCAGACGTGCTGGGCCCAACGGCACTAATGTCCCTACTTAGTTGTAAATGAAGAAGAAGTAAATGACAGTGTAATGTGACAACCACCTTTTAAGGGCGAATGCAGAGGAAGAGAAGACTAGAAAATGTTGTCAAAAGAAGAAATGTAATATTTATTGTAAGATTTATCTATTTATTAGATATATTTTACATAACAATTCTATCATTTTCAGGTCCAATTCCTTTTTTTTTCTGTTTCTTTTGAACATGAGTGTTCTGCCTCAAATTTGGATTTCTGTTTTTTTTTGTTCATTTGTAATGGCCCAATCTTACTGAAAGTAAGGATTTTTCAGAACCGCAAGAAAATTAGAATAAAAATGGGGGAGAGAGGTAGAGGAGAAAGAGAAAAAGATGATGAAAAGAGGAGTAGAAAGAGAAAAGTAACATCAAGAATTAAAAATGATTAGTAAATATTGTCACATCTCACCGACAAGCCAGGTTAATCCTGCTTCAACAGGTGTGGTGATCTCATCAATATCGCTCCCGTAGAGGCAAAGACCTGCCTCCAATCTGAGACTGTCTCGAGCTCCTAATCCAATCATTTTTACTGATGCTTTTGTGGATGACAGCAAGGCGGACACTATGTTAACAGCGTTGCTTGTAGGAATAGAAATCTGGAATGAACATTTGAAGCCTTTCAATGACTGTCATTCTAAAACAATTACTAATAAACAACAAACATTCATCAGCTGGTACTTATGAAGATAAAAGAAAATTAAATGATTATGACAAAATTACTGATGTGGTTTAAGTGATTAAAGAGCTCAGGAGCTTGATTAAAGTGACAGGTGCCCTTGATAATTATAAATATATATATTTATAATTTACACCTTATAGGTTAATATAACAACTGAATCAGACACATACAGACATTGGTTTACATTTGCGACAATTTAAGGCGAGTGCACTATATATTATAAGTTAGCCACCTCATGCTTGTATTAGTCATGATATAAAATTGTAGATGAATCTGGTAAATATAAATATTTTAATCCTTTTTTTTTTTTGGTGACCATTAAACTACACAAATCTTTTAATGCACTAATTATTGTATGCATTTTTAAAAACAAAAAAAATGTTATAAAAGATATTTTCCTCATTTTATTTTAAATTTTTTATTTTCTACTTTTAGTCATAATTACAATCAAATTATCAAATTCAAAAATAATTTGTTGGCAATGACTAGTCACTGCATTACTTCCAACAAATCAGTTATTATTTGCAACATTACAGCAGGCACGCCACCATGAAGTTAACATATAGGGGGTGGGGCACCTTTTTAGGCCTTCCCAAAAAAATATGAAACAAATGGGGGGAGAGCGGAAGTGTTCCACCCGACACACTTTCTTATCAAATAGGCAAACAGTTGGGTGGGGGTCATCCCCTCAGCAACCACCACCAATTAGAAAACACTGGCGGACCCCCAAACCAAGCCCTCCTCACCATCTTACAAATTTTCTAGCCTAATAATGGTGTGTGTTTGAGGGTCCTTGAGTGCTCCACCCATACAATAATTTTGTAAGAGGGCTAGGAATCACCTTTAGCCATAAATGGAAAGATCTTTTAATGTATTTGTTCATGCATTTAATATTATTTCAACTGTATTATTACATTTATACGCCCTTCTTATTATTATTATTATATTACCATCATTGTGCTGCAAGTTAACTATATATTTGAAAAAAAAATTAAATGTATAAGAAATTACCTTTCACGAAAATGTTTATACATTGGTAGTTACAGGAGGTCTCTAAGACTTCCAATAAATTATTGACGGGAAGATAAGGGGTAAGGCCCCAGTCCAAGAAACCTGAGCTCCCAAGTTCTGGCACCAATGTGAACAAATCCCCCCTCCCCCCCCCCCCCCTTTTTTTTTCCAGATTCCAACCCTGCCTTGTCTCTAGTCGGGCAACAATTATGTTTTCCTTAATAACATGAAGCACTGTCTCCCATGTTATTTGAGGTTAGGGCAAAATGAGACAGTCTATAGTATCTCTGTTTATTCTAATTGCAGTCAAGGGAATTTGCTGGAGAGATGATTAAACAAAAGGCGCCTCCAAAGAGCGTAAGCTAATTATTTTACTGTTAGTTGCGTATCCTTTACAGGATGTTGCAGAACCAACCCCAGCATTCTTTGGCTGTTGTGGTTTTCCTAGGCAAGTTTACGTCCATTAGTTTGCCACTGCTTTCTGGACAGTCGGCTTCTCGATGCCACTGTCAAAACCAACGCAAGGCGCACAGCTGTGATTGAACCCAGTACCCCAGCATAACAAAGCGCGTTCGTAACGCCTAAGCCACACACGCCGACTAATTATTTTACTACATAAACATAAATTGTTAAAAACATAAATTATCAATGAATGATTTTTTTTCTTCAGAAAATCTGTTCTCACCTCAACTCCATCCTCCCCTGTATACCCACAACGGGTAACCCTACATCCCTTGACACCAAACACAGTTGCCTCGGTTGTTGTCATGAAGGGAAGATCCCTCAGGTCAAAGTCCAATCCAGGCTGTAAAACTGTTGTCATTTGGGGTCCTGAAATATTACACAAGATTATCACTAGAAATAAATTGAGACGTGTTTCATGCAAGAATGCACCAAAGCAAGTCAAAAAATTGTCTTCATAATATCTTGCATTCACCCTTAAAAGCATGGTTGGTAAATTGTGTTGTGGTTTACAGCTAGACTGTGATATGTAAGCCTTTTGCCTCAACCCACTAAACTTTGTTAAATCCTTTTCTCTAGTCACCCTATAGATAAAGCTTGTTAAGGTACAATGGTCTATTAATTATTTTTTTCTAAAGAAACAGAGCTCTGGGACTCACACAGGAAGTCACTAATCAACAGGAACATATCAGTTTCTGAATGAATGTTGAATGCTGAATTAAGAATCGACATTACAGCACTCAGGACACTCCCATAAGTGCTCCATCCCCATCTTCAGCAGCAAGCAAAGACTTCAAATTCTGATGGCACCAGTAACTGTCTGATTGTTTATCTCTCTTATCCTTCCTTGAGTGTCGAATGTCAGCAAGATCCCCTGGTAACTCCTCACAGCGCCATTCTCCTCAGACCGTAATGATCTATCGGCACCTCTACACTGTTTACTCGCTCCCAAAGCGCCATCACAATATCTAGTTTGTCATACATCAATTCACCACCAAGTGGTGCAGAGCCAGCCAGTCGATCTGCCTGCTCATTTCCCAACACACCGGCATGACCTGGAGAAAATATCCAAAGGATGCTAAATACCCGGGACCTCTGAAATGATAGCTAAATAACACTGGTACAGCTGGAGGCATGCATGGCTCAAGAGACAGCTAAGGAAGGGTGAATGTGAGACTGGCTACCTCATCCCATAGAAAATCTTTGCAGCAAACTTTAACCATTCAAGTATTTGGCATTTTCTAGTTGAGAGCATATTCCCCATTGAAAGCTTAAAGGCAGAGGAAGGAAGGGACAGCTAAAGATAAATGGCAAAGAGGCAGACAGAAGAAATAATGAATCTTCTTCTTCTTCTCGCGTCAACCAGCTGTAAACTTTAGTGGAAAGTTCTGGTTGTTTTTCGACTTCTAGACTGGTCTCAGCATAACTAGAATGTCTTTGCATTGGAACCCACAGGGGCATAGGAATAAAGGAAGGCCAAAAAACACATGGAGAAGAGAGCTGGAGAATGAGGTTAGAAAGATTGGGAGGACATGGGGAGAGCTCCATGTAATGGCGAAGGATAGAACGACTTGGCGTGAGTTGGTTGAGGGCCTATGCTCCATTGGGGGATAGAAAGGCAGAAGAAAAAGACTTTGGTCTTGTTCTAGAAATTGAGTTTTGCAGCACATTCACTTTATTTTTGGCTTACTTGTATGCAGACAATCTTTTGCTCGCCTCTCAGGATGATGTACTCCGACTTCAAATAATGAATGAATGGATAGTCTTATGTCACAACACAAATAATGAATGAATGGACAGTCTTATGTCACAACACAAATAATGAATGAATGAACAGTCTTATGTCACAACACAAATAATGAATAAACAGATAGGTTATGTTACCATAAAGAAAATCATTAATGAATAGACAGGTTATCCCACTACAAGAGAAATCATTTATGTATGGATATACAAGGTCACCACGAGAGAAATCATCAACGAATGGATATGCTGCCGCCACAACAGAAATCACTGGTGCCAGAACAGAAATCACTGTTGCCACAACAGAAATCTCTGTTGCCACAACAGAAATCACTTTTGCCACAAAAGTAATCATTAATGAATGGATATGCTATTACCACAACAGAAATTACTACTGCCACAACAGAAATAATTAATTAATGGATATGCTCTTACCACAATAGAAATCACCATTGCCACAACAGAAATCATTAATGAATGGATATGCTCTACCACAATAGAAATCACTCATGAATGGATAGGCTATGTCACCGCTCCCAAAAAAAATGATTGCAGGAGGTGCTATATCACGAAAAGCGAGTCGCTATGCTGTAGCGGCTAGAAGCTCCCCTGTGGATGAGAAGGTGATGGGTTCGCGTCTTGACGATATCTGACTTGTTTTTTTGTTTTTATTAAAGAGCTTGGCTCCCAGTTCAACCCAGTCGTGAGTGGGTACCAGACAGAGTCCTGTGAAATAAAGGCGGTTAGCGTGATGCTGACATCATCACCCATCAAGGGCCAAGTGGTCTATAAAATATAGGTCTAGCCCTATATGCCCAATACGGAGGAAGGTGTGGAAAGATCCTTTATTTATTTTTTTTATATCACCACAAAAAAAATCAGTCATGAATGATAGTCTATGTTACCACAACAGGAATTAATAATGAATGAATGGACTATATCATCTGCAGCAACTTTATTCTCAGGTTTATGGTTCCCATCTAGCGCCTCAGACGAGCCCTGTGTATAGCATTAAACTTTCAAGGCAAGTTAGTGCAGCAAATTAAAACTCCCTGTCACCCTCTGGTTTCTTCCAACAAAGAATGAATACAACTGGTACCAATAATTACCTTGCACAGCCACAAGAGCAGTGTCAATGACAGACAGTCTGATGTCAGCTCCTGATTTTTGGAAAATCAGTTTCTTTCAACTGAAAATAAAAACAAATGTTATCAATCTTATGTAAATCTTTTAACAGAAACAACAAAGATCTAATGTTGAAAAATAGATTTTAAAAATGCATAGTTTGTCTTCTTCTTCGTTCTCTGTGCAATGCTCTTGAATATGGATCTTGCTCTGTGGTCACTGCAGTTGTTTACTGTTTACTTTAGGCGGCCGGCTTGACGTTGACCAATTTACCCATCCAGTGCTGACGGGTCTATAAACATAACACAAGTGCTACATGCCTGATGTGCCAAAGGCATGAAAAGGACTTTCACTGCTTTACTAAAGGGTTGTCGGCATAAATCATCAGTTCTCATTATGCGTAGTGGCACATGAGGCTTCAGAGAGGACTTTCCATGCTTTCCTGTCCTGTGCAATCTTCATTGCAGTTTTTCATGTCAAAGATGCCACACTCAGGTCACTTTCCATTGTTCGTCTCCATGTTGTTTTTGGGCGCCCCTTTTTCCTCTTTCCCTCTGGTATCCAAGTGAGAGCTGTTTTGGCAGGTATTTCAGGGTTAATTCTTATAACGTGGCCAAGCCATTTCCATCTTCTCTTGGTTATCATACTGTCCAGAGTTTCTTGGTTTGTGGCTTGAAGTAGTTTAGTGTTTGAGATTGTATCTGGCCAAAAAATTTTGATAATTCTACACAGACATGGGTGGTTGAAGGTGGACAGCTTGTGTACATCCTTTTTGGTCATTCTCTAGCAAGTGTCGGCATAAATAGCAGAAGAAAAATAGTTTTACTGTGAGGAGGCTTGCCATAAAATTGGCCACTTCATCTTTTAGAAAAACAAAGCAAATGACAGTCAATCATGAAAGTCTACAAAGAGTTTGACATGAACTAGGCTGAGAACCTCTACAAAGAGTTTGGCATGAGTGGGCTGAGAGGCTCTACAAAGAGTTTGGCATGAGTGGGCTGAGAGGCTCTACAAAGAGTTTGGCATGAGTGGGCTGAGAGCCTCTACAAAGAGTTTGGCATGAGTGGGCTGAGAGCCTCTACAAAGTGTTTGGCATGAGTGGGCTGAGAGGCTCTACAAAGAGTTTGGCAAGAGTGGGCTGAGAGGCTCTACAAAGAATTTGGCATGAGTGGGCTGAGAGGCTCTACAAAGAGTTTGGCATGAGTGGGCTGAGAGCCTCTACATAGAGTTTGACATGAACTAGGCTGAGAGCCTCTACAAAGAGTTTGGCATGAGTGCGCTGAGAGCCTCTACAAAGAGTTTGGCATGAGTGGGCTGAGAGCCTCTACAAAGAGTTTGACATGAACTAGGCTGAGAGGCTCTACAAAGAGTTTGGCATGAGTGGACTGAGAGCCTCTACAAAAAGTTTGGCATGAGTGGGCTGAGAGCCTCTACAAAGAGTTTGGCATGAACTAGGCTGAGAGCCTCTACAAAGAGTTTGGCATGAACTAGGCTGAGAGCCTCTACAAAGAGTTTGACATGAACTAGGCTGAGAGCCTCTACAAAGAGTTTGGCATGAGTGGGCTGAGAGCCTCTACAAAGAGTTTGACATGAACTAGGCTGAGAGCCTCTACAAAGAGTTTGACATGAGTGGGCTGAGAGCCTCTACAAAGAGTTTGGCATGAGTGGACTGAGAGTCTCTACAAAGAGTTTGGCATGAGTGGGCTGAGAGCCTCTACAAAGAGTTTGACATGAGTGGGCTGAGAGCCTCTACAAAGAGTTTGGCATGAACTAGGCTGAGAGCCTCTACAAAGAGTTTGGCCTGAACTAGGCTGAGAGCCTCTACAAAGAGTTTGGCATGAACTAGGCTGAGAGCCTCTACAAAGAGTTTGGCATGAGTGGACTGAGAGCTTCTACAAAGAGTTTGGCATGAGTGGGCTGAGAGCCTCTACAAAGAGTTTGACATGAGTGGGCTGAGAGCCTCTACAAAGAGTTTGGCATGAGTGGGCTGAGAGCCTCTACAAAGAGTTTGGCATGAGTGGGCTGAGAGGCTCTACAAAGAGTTTGGCATGAGTGGGCTGAGAGCCTCTACAAAGAGTTTGGCATGAGTGGGCTGAGAGCCTCTACAAGAGTTTTACATGTACTAGGCTGAGAGCCTCTACAAAGAGTTTGGCATGAGTGGGCTGAGAGCCTACAATGAGAGATGACAGGCTGAAGAAGAAGAATTGACAGTATGAATGACAGCAGATTGGCTCCTGAGAAAGCTACCTTACAATGATCAATATGGGGTGAGTGTCACCAGTTGTGAACTCTTTGTATAATTATTAGCAAGTCGCATCTGCACAACAGGAGATTCAAATCTGAGAATCATTATCTGTGTTGGCCCACCCCCAAAGAGGGTTAGAAAGGTCAAGGGGCCAAAACATTCAGCAAAGGAGGACCTATTCTGATGACTGGAAACCTCCTGTTGTGCTTGCTCCTCTATGAAGTCTATATTACTGACATATAAATAAAATTTAAGATCACACCATACAAAAACATATATATATATATTCTAACATGCGCGAACGTAATATGTGAGAAAAAGAGAACAATACCTTCATGTGAGCAAAATCCTTGTCAGCACATCCTGCATTAGAAACAACATACAAATATCCACTACTGGCATTGCTCACTATCAGGTCATCGAGTATTCCCCCATTTTCATTTGTAAACACAGTCAGTGTGCCCTGGTTCTCCTTCAGACCTGAATGAATAATTGCATTCTAGAGTTTCTACACAGCCTAATTATTACCACTTTTGTGCATCCACCAGAAGTGACGAAGACCACTTTTTATGTTATCTCTCATGATAATATAGTGTTCTGTGAGTTCGGAGGTGACTTATAAGCCCAATATATGCCTGGAATGATCTTGAAAATGAGGGCAAAGAACAGTGTCTGTAGGTTAAGGGCCTGTGATACGGGTCTTTGTAGCCTGCCTGCGCTGTTCAGCTGCCCTTTTTCTTGAAGCCTCACAGGTCGCTACCCCTCTGTGGATAGTTGTTCGTCATTCAGTCTGGTCTTCTGCAGCACTCTACTAGGTGTCAGGGTCTATATGAAAGACTTTAAACTGATGCCTTTAGCGTGTCCCTGAAGCTTTTTATTCTGGCTACCAATAATTACCACACTTTCAGTGAAAGTATTCCAGTATGAAGATAAATTAATAGTACCATCTATCAGAAGCTGTCAAAAATCAATCACATCTGCAGGCTTGTATTACTTGATGGGCATTTCCATTGCATTTCTTCTTCTGAATTGTTGCCCGAGTGACATAAATGCAAAGTGCCTGTTTACAGCATAGCTATAGTGTTTGCAGGCTATTTTCCAAACGGCCTAATTTTATGGCGGCCAAACACACACCCTGACAGGGCCTCATTAGATCGTGTGTTGTAAACATTAAAAAAATTAACTCTAAAATAATAAGGAATGAAAAAAAAGGGAAAATGACGAAATTGACTACTTAGCAATAATTGAGGCCTTTATATCTGAAATTAGTGGCACAGAAGTTGCAAATAGTGCCCAAAAATCTTCTATTGATGGCTGTGGCGCCATTGAAACTCGGCTAAATATGATCTGTGCCGCATTGGTAACTCAGTTTTCACCGCCGAGAGTATCTCCCGCGCCGCACCTAGCGGCGCGGATGGAGGGCTAAACTAGATGGCTGGACTCACGAGCAAATAAATTGGAGGTAGTTGCAGGAGATGGGGTAGCTGCTGCTCGTGAGTCCCAGCCATCTAGTTTAGCCCACTCATCCATAGTTGCGGATACACTCAGCAGTGAGTTTAATCGGAAGAACACTACCGCTAACCTGCGTCGGAGTGCGTGGTCTCCCCGCCATGTCGTTATTATCGTGTGTATTGTTGCGTTTCTCGAAATTGTCAATGGACATTAATCTTAGTTTTGCCGCGATGTGTTCATTGAAGGAAGTCCGCAATTTACATGTGATTGAGGCCCTGTCAGGGTGTGTTTTTGGCCACCATAATATGTGGCCGTTATTCGGAGGATAGCCTATTTGCATCTTTCAGCTGACACATCCAGCTTCTTCAGGAGTTTTTTTATCCAGGTTAGCCTCCCGGTTATTTTTGTGGATATTTGTAGCCTCATATGTGTGGTGACTTTGTCATCTCCAATCCACAGGTTTTGCCATAGAGAACCGTCCAAGGCAGCTGCATACTGTTTGGTAAAACCTCAAGGCAAGGCAGCGGCAGAGCATAAGCTTTCACTGTCATTCAAGGAGGCTTCCATAAATGCAAAGCCAATCTACAGCGCTTTGGTACTAGGCTTGCCCAACTTCACATCAGTATATTGGGTCTTCCAGTCATTACAGGCTGCACCACCCTTCTGGATCCCCCAGGGAGCAGTCTGCAGATCCTAGACTTTGATTCCTTGCACAAATTGGTTTATTTGTGTGCAGACTGTTGGTTCCTCCCAAGCAGATGCGCTCTGACTTGAAAAAAATAAATAAAAAACGTCTATCCTATCTATATTAACCAGGCTACCAGCTGGGAACCAGTTTCTAGGATGACAGCGGAGAGATGTCGATTTAGACCAGAATGAACTCTGGTCCTTGTGCATCATCATCATGTGTGGTTTAGCTTCTCTGCAGCTCAACAAGGATTCATATGTCTGTATATTAAAATCATGCATATTCATGTAGAAGGTCCTCTGCAAAAACGTCCCTCTCATCACAGTTTGCTAAAAATGACTCCTGACCTTTTGCCAGTTCCCCTGCCTTGTACATACAAGCTGTACATGTGCACATTCATAAAGTGTCTTCTGCATTTACCATCAACCTATGCTACAATGTCAGATATCAGTATATGGAAATAAAATGTCTCAGAAAGGCTGCAGAAGTGACCACAAGAGGTCATAAGAATGGGCTTCTCTAAAAGAAAAAGTCAGCAAAGAACCAATGCTAAATTACATATAATACATGTAAAATGGTTTGTCCACAAAGAGAATGCTTTGAGATGCCATACCATACAAGGTATATGGGATAATAAAGAGAGCATTTTATGGCGAGCTCCAGCGAGGGAAGATGTCCCAGGGAGGACAGAAAAAGCGCTATAAGGACAATGAAGACTGCTCTCAATTCTTTTTTGCATCAACACGTGGGAGGCTGTTGTACAAGACCATTCTAGATGGCGTATATACGTCCCTCAGGCATGGTGCATCGGCCTGCCAGGCAGACAAGGTTGCACAGGCAGAGAAACGGAGGCAGACTAGAAAGAATCATACTGCTAATCCCACACTTACAGCGGCTTCCACCTGTTGTCCGCACTGCTCAAGAACATTCCGGGCTCATATTGGACCAATCAGCCACCTTCGTACTCATAATCATTGATCATTACTACTTTGGATGAAAGTGGTCTTCATCGCTCGTGATGGACGAACAACATTTGGGATAATGAATTAATAAACTGAATAAACAAACAAACTTAAATTTGTACAACTGGGCATATTACCTACTGCCCTTCTAAACATAATCTGTCACACTTGTATTTTATTTAGAATGCATCTTAAGTTCATTTAGCAATATACAAAACATGAATAAAAATAACATCACACTAGCAGATAGATATGAAACAGCATACATAAAAATGATCATTTGCAGACCCTTAAAAATTCAATACTGAGCCCAAGGTGAAAAGACAACATCAAAGAAACTATTTAACAGTAATATGTGTCTATGGTTGAGACGGCCAGGAGAACTAAAACCAAAACATAAAGTGGTAAAAGACTGAAGATAAAAGTGAAGATTTTAAGAAGAATGCACATAAATACTAATATGAAAACTGAATGTTGAATTAAGAATCTTCTTCGCGTTCACCAGCTGTAAACTCTGGTGGAAAGTTCTGGTTGTTCGTGAACTTCAGGACTGCAGTCCTGTCCCAGAACCAGAGTGTTGTGTGTGCATCCATTTTACAGATCTGACTCATTTGTGTGCAGACTGCTGGTTCCTTGCCTCTCAGGCAGATGCACTCTGACTTTGAAGGAAGTTCCCAATTAGTCGACTCTTACGACATGCTTCTGGGTAGGCAGTGGGTCTTTTCGTGTTTTCCCTATAATAGGGCCCTGGAATCCAACCGGGGAGAATTAAGAATCAAAATCATAGCACTCAGGACGCTCCCACAAACGCTCCAACCCATCTTCAGCAGCAAGCCAATTGTACCAGTAACTGTCTAACTGTGTATCTCTTGTACTTTTCTTGAGTGCTGAGCGTCGGCCAGATCCCCCAGTAACTCCTCGAACTGCCATTCTCTTTAGACCGTAATGATCTATATGTGCCTCCTCACTGTTCACTCGCTCCCAAAGGGGCCTCACAACATCCAGCTTGTCATACATCAATTCACCACCAAATGGTGCAGAACTGGTCAGTCTACCTGCCTACTCGTTTCCCAACACTAGCATAAAATTTCTAAATGATGCTAACTTCCCTGGACCTCTGAAGCGATGCTTGCCACTCTGCATGGAGCATGCCTCTGTCCACCTTTCTCAACATACTCTGTGAGTCAGTTACAATTACAATATGTGTGTACAACTGATTTTCAATCCAGCGGAAGGCAGCAGTGACTGCCTCCACCTCCATTCTTAGACTAGACGTTGTGATGTGATATATGTCAGGATTTGTTGCACTTAGCGACATTGATTCACTTTTGCTATGCACTTCATCTACCTCTCAACACAGAGTCATCTGTATAGAAAATCAGGACCTGAAAACTAAATACCTTCAATGTCTCCAACTACCATACTCTCCATGAAGCGTTTCCGATGAGCCCCATCAACTCGCGTCTGCAGCATGTGTGAAACATCAAAAATTCCCACAGATCTGAAAATATTGATAACAAATTTACAGTAACAATTGGAATAGAATGAATTCTTGTTACAGAAGAATTGGACAGAATTAGGCCCATTCTGGATAAGGTGAGACCCCCTACCCCTTAAGAAACATGCTGTAAAAGGCAATTAATTAAGGGTTGCTGAAATCAAATGTGTTGGGCCAAAGGGGTAGATACGACAGCATGGCTATAAACAACAACACAATGTGCCGATAGCCATTGTAAGGGCGAATACAGAAGAAGTAGATAAGAAATGTAATCATGTGCAGAGTAATCAATAAACACATAGTATGCTGCCTGGTACTAAAAGAATTATTTTCTCAGGGCAAATTCGGAAAATCACATCTTTTTACAGGTGTATGCATAAAATAGCACAGACAAGGAAAGGTTTTCAAAAAGAGTAAATGTTTTGAACTGACTTGAGATGAGGCCAGTAGCAGTAACAGTAAGAGCATGATTAAATGTCCACCTTGGCAGACTGTCGACCTAATTCCCAAGTCACTCCTAACTGTACCATTCTCTCCAGACCATAAAGATCTATTTGTGCATCTGCAATGTTCACTTGCTCCCAAAAAGCACTAACCACATCTAGCTCGCCATGCAACAATTGACCATCTAGTGCTGCAGAACCAGCCAGTCTGTCTGCATGTTTGTTTCTTAACACACCTGCATGACTGGAGAAAAGATCCAAAGGATGTTTATTACCAAGGACCTCAAAAGCAACAATGTTTGCACACAGCATGCCTGTCCTTGCCTTTGTCATTATGCTTTTTGAGTCTGTTTCAGTCATGACATGTCTGGGCAGTCGGTTATCAAGCTGCTATGACTGCCTATACTTCCATTATATATATATATATATATTTTTTTTTATGTCTTTGCTTCTAAACTTGATGTTGTGGTATTAACAAATGTTTTAGTGCATTTAAAATAAATGAAGCCTAACTGTTCAAACCAAACATGAAGATATATGAAATGATGCATAACTGTCTTTAAAATTGTACAACAAGAACCTTACTTTCTAACATGCAGATGTTCCTCAGATATTCCTGACTTATACTGGACAGGCATCTCCCAACCAGCAAAAGGAACCATCTTGGCTCCTTCAGAGATGTGGAAATCATAAAGGCATGTTCTCTTCAGACTGTCGCTCTGTTTAAATAATGGGGGTAAATATGAAAGGTAGTAAGTTCCAAGACTAAATTTTGTAAACTCCTACTACTGTTATTTGGAAATGTTTAACAATTTTGTTACCACTACATCATGGAACGTTGGTGTCTGTGACTTGGGTGTTGTTAACGTGCATTATAATATCAGATTCGATCCCATCTGCAAGTGATTTGGCCACAGACTGCAGGTAATTTGGCAGCAGACCCGCCTTGCATTGGTTTCAATAGAGGTATCAAGGGTCGACTGTCCAGTAAGCAATGACAAACTGTCTACAGAACATAACTTTACTAAGAAAAACTGAAACAGCAAAAATTACTGGGGTTGGTTCAGCAACATCCTTACGGACATGCAACTAACTTCATGAAACATCCAAATCATTATAGTGTTTTCCTGTTGCTAAAAAAGTAAACTTTTTTTTAAATGATTGGGTAATGTTACTTTCAGCTGAAAGGGGAACTAATAAAACATAGTGTCTAACCTTTGTTCCCTTTTTCATCACATTTCACCTCTCCCGTATGCCCCACCCTCCCAATACTGTTATTAACTGTGCCCATCTAACTCCTCCATACTCATCATAATGTATTTGTTTGTATTACCTTTCTTTGTATATTCTTATTTGTATTGTTGTTCTGCAGACTTATTACTTATGTAATGTGCTGATGACGGTTCTCTATCTGCAATGTTCACTTGTCTTTTGCGAAATGTGAAACGTTTCATTTCGTTTGATATCATGTTTTGTTATGACAACAAATGCAGCAGACATAATCATAATCTTCTCGCTCTCTCTCTCTCTCTCTCTATTTGTAGCGGCCTCTCCTTGACTACTACAGCTCCAAGGACTACAGCGTCCCACAATCTGGACGCGCCGTACAGCTGAACAGGACGAATTCTCCAATTCCCTGGAACTTGATATTATTTCAGCATATAACACGGCTGACTGGAGATGGACTTTCCTGGCCGTACTCCGAAAACACACAGCTGTCGTCAGCTTTTCGCAGGACTCCGATGACCGACAGGACTTCTACCGTAAGTCCCCTCTAGCACACAGCTCTCGTCGGTACCACTCCCCTCTGTTCTGTTTCAGTAGTGGTCCTCCTACGTTTCACTACGTCGACACCCAGAACAGGTACTACTGGAGCTTCCCGTCCACTGGACTTACTTTGCCAGCGGGAACATATCTTCTTCAGTACCACAACCTCTACACTCACTCAGACCTAAATGCCTGGTAGTCGTACGGTATTCTTGTCTGTTAGACTAGTGAGAGATATCACGTACCCTGGCTTGGTCTCTGACTCTCGATTCCTCTCTCTCTCTCTCTCTTCTCGACTGCTTCTCGATTGCCTCCGAGTGGCTACTCAGCCCTCCAATTTATCCCCCTCAAATCCGTGTAGGTGGATGATGTCTACACGAGAGGCATGCTCGTATGGACGTTCTCGTGATCACACTTATGCGGGTGGCTGATGTTACCTGAGAATCACGCTGTCACTTAATTCATTTATCTCATTAGCCATGCTTTCAGCCCCCACACAGTAACCCACGCGTCCACTTTCTCTCGTGCGTGCACGCCTTGTTCATGAATAATAGACATTCTCACTGGTCTCCTCTCAATACTCGGACCATGTTGACACTATTCCCCCCCCCCCCCGTGAATTCACAGAAAGTCCTGGCATACCACTGTCCCTTCACACACTATCCCACTTTACCCAAATCAGCGTGCAACAATGACCCATGATGACAAATGTTAGCCACGTCACACGAACCAACTTTTCCCTCACATAGTTTTTTCTGCTGTGGGGGGGGGGGATCTTTGGTAGTATAGATAGTGTAGACTAAACTTACTTTTTTTTTTTTTAGCACTCTTATTTATTTTGCATTGGAGTATAGATATGGCTTTTGCAAGGATCTGTCGGATACTCACTGCACCAGTCGTCAGTCAGTCGGAGTTGCCCGTGGTTTGCTGCTTAAGAAAGTCACAACTCCACACAAAAGTGAACTGAAATATTTTAAGTTAAATCAATTTTGAAACAATTAAAAAGTTTACCTTTGATCCAAAATATCTAAGATCAGCAGCTCTGCGTAGTTGCTGCAGTAAATTACATTTGATGAAGTGCGCCATTAATATTTATTTGTTTATACTAACACAATAAAACGTGTAGCAGAAAAACAGCTGATATCCAACGCTGCTTTTCCCTCCGTGCCGTTTAATTGTCGGTCAAACTTTTTTAGTGGCTGAACTTTAGCCCTGCGAGTTATGTAGAAAGGGGGGGGGGGTGGTAGGTCTCGTTGCATCGCTTTTTTTTTCTCGTTTCTCTCATTCTCCATCTCTCTCTCTATATATATCTCTTCCCCCCCCCTCTCTCTCTCTCTCTCTCTCTCTCTCTCTCTCTCTCTCTCTCTCTCTCCCGGATTATCAGTCTCTACTTTTAGCAATTAAAATATCAGAATTGATATGTTCGTGTGTTTTTTTTCTAGTTGGGAAATATCTTAAAAGCAAACATGGTTAGATCGTTCTAAATTTGGCACATCTTGGGACAAGGTGAGTAAATAACCACTAAACACCAGGCACCATGATGGGAAACAAATAGATTGAGGAAAAGAATATGTCAAAGAGAAACCATAGAAAGAACTTCGATGAGAGAAAATAGAGTCTCTGGACTAGATTCCATTCGTGATATTAGAAGTATGTGGAGGAATAAATAGACTGCGAGACATGTCATATCCTCTACTTCTTTGCTTTCACTGCCGGAAAGTTCTGGCTCATTTGTATGCAGACTATTGCTGCCTTCCTTCTCAGACAGAATCCATGCGACTTCAAAGGGCGCCCCAAATAAGTCGACTCATGGTTAGTTGCGTATCCTTTACAGGACGTTGCAGAACTAACCCCAACAGCCCCTGGCTGTTGTGTCATTTTTCTAGGCAAATTTACGTCCAGTAGTTTGCCATTGCCTTCTGGATACCACTGTCGAAACCAACGCACGGCGCATGGCCCGCAGCTGGGATCGAACCCGGCACCCGGCATTACGAAGCGTTCGCATCGACTTCGCCACAGAGCCGACATTCGACTCATACAACATGCTTTTTGGGGAAGGAAGTTTCTCTGTTCTTGCCCCCCCCCCCCCCCCCCCCCCCAACAAAAAAGGGTTCCGAAAGCCCCATGGGGAATATATGTCATACAATAGCACAACATGATAGTGTGGGTGATTAAGCTGGATAGATGGAGAGCGGAAAACCTATTCTCTGTGAGGGTTCCTGGTGCCTATTGTGAGGAAAACAAAAATAGGCCCACTGCCTTCTCAACAGGCATGTCGTAAGAGTCAACTAATGGTGGCTTCTTTGAACAGCCGGTGAACGCGAAGAAGAAGAATAATGTCTATGAACTATAAAACGTAAAATTACAACGTGTGAGATGAAATGTATAAGAAAACTGTGCTTTATTAATATCCAACCCCAAAGAGGGGAAATCCACAGGTCACGGGACAGTCTAATATTTCAGAGGGTTCTAGATAGGCTGCATGCAGTCGTGGGACCTAGGTTGCACTCTTTCGTGGGACGTAGTTGGGTTGGGGCTAAGACCAGTTCTCAATGTTTTGGGGTCATTAAAAGCATTAGAAACCCAGTCATCTTGGGTAGGATATTAATAAAGCACCAAGAAAACAAGCAGAGACAGAAACACTAACGAAGAACTAAAAACAATGCTAGTGCCGGTATATGATTTCATCGAACATCAAATAATCAAATTGTTCATCTGGTCAGAAGGGAATACAATCAGCCAGCAGCTAGAGCCTACTATATAAGAGCAGCAGACTACAAGGTAAGGGGTCGACCAAGAAAGAGATGGGTAAATGGAGTAAAATAAGACACTATCTAAACGCAATATAATATTATAAGCTACACAACTAATAAAAGACAGGAAACTACATCTTACCCTTCTGTGCGACGCTTCACGGCATAAGCAGTAGCACAACATAAGAACAAGTAGTAGTGTTTGCATACACAAAAACTGCTTCAACGCTCCAGTTATAACTTAACTGCAATATAAAGTGTCAATTGCAACTGATTTACAAGATATTTAGTGGTGTGTGTAAAACGTTTGGGTTGTTGGGAAAGAACAGCGGTTTCCATTTGTTTTAGTTTTTTTAAGTATGCTGTTTTTTAATGTCAACAGATGGTGATCTCAAGCGTTTGCAGAACGGCGTCCACATCCTAGCCCCCTTGAAAGACTTGCTATCCTTTGCTAATTGTACTATCTTATGCATCCTCATGCCTATAGCTCTTCCAGTTCCGTGTCTATCCTTGTGCTTTTCTACCTCCGCATTATTCCAGGAGCTACGCCTCACAGCACCGGTCTGTCTTAATCATGTGGCTTTTAAAACATAGGCTATCTCTCAATATTTTTAATTTCATTAGAAGTTACACATAAGACAAAAAAAATGACGGTTTTCTTTTGTTGCTATATCAAGGACAGAAATAAAACCGAACGAAAAGTATATCAGCGATCTTCACAATACAACAAACACAAACAAAACGTGAACGTTGCGGCTATGGAGCCTTCATCTGCACATACATAAATTAGACAATACTACACAAATACACAAAATCTCCTATCTTTGGACAATGCACATTTATGTTAAAAAAATGAAACTGTTGCTGCCTAAAAATATTGCTTTGTTCTATAGTGCTGCACTCGTACAGCTGTCCAGAACACACACAAACTGGTCCATCACGGAAATATAACTCTAGTTTTCAAGGATCCTGAAATTGATAAACGCATTCACCAACCTTTAAGCCACAGAGGCGCCTATGATAAATAATAAATATCTTTATAATAAAAATGCGATTCGAAGAAATTACGACGGAGCTCCCCTTCACGAACAAAACTGCGTTATTTGTCTACATTGTCAGACTATGCCAGGCAAGACGGAAGTGCACCCTATCTCATCAAAATGTTGTATTTGGAAGATTATTTGGAGCGTAAGCCAACTTAGACTATTTATTAGGTTTTCTTGTGTTCATGCGAACAAGACAGGGACGAATTACTCGATTATTTATTGAAATAATGTTGTTCGTTTGTAAGATTACATTAGCGCATATGCTTTCTGCGTGAACCAACGCAAGTCTCCGTAAATAAACGAAAGTGGTAAACTTATTTTTCCGGTCTGGAAAATTAACTTTCACTTTCTGTTTCAATGTAAACAAATGTTTACCTTTAATGGGTAACTTCAAATGTTTAATAAATAAATAAAGAGGAAGCAAGCAAAATATTCTTAAAATAGTCTTTTATAGTCCTATACCTACACTTCAATGTATGTGAATACATATTTTAAAATGTAATTAAAAATAAAAAAACCACAAATTAAAACATAACAATTCAACAAAGATCTTCTTCTAGGGGTTAGTTTGTTTGCTGTGTATGAAGCTAACAGAATTGCAGGTATATTTTTTACTTACTTTACTTAGTCGCTCCTTTTCCTTGTGGTGTAGGCAGTAGGGGTTGGCTAGATAGACTGCTAGACTTCTCTGTCAGCAGTATTTTTGTGTGTGTGGCTTTGTTCGAGTCCTCTGCCAGTCAGGGACTATCAGATATTGTCTTCCCAGTGAATCCTGGGTCACCATAGTGGTCTAGTTCTTGGTCTGCGTAATGGTGGCCGTTTGTCTTCCATTTTCTATTCATGTCCAGACCATCATAACCGTGTCTAGAGTTTGTAAGGCCTCTGTTTCAAGGTCATGATGTATTGTCTGATTAAAACTTTGTCCCTTCTTGTCGCTTGGACCACCTTTCTCCGATATGTCATTCCTGAAGCTTGAAGCTGGCTTCTATGAGGTGTAATTGCAGGTATATTCTGATTCTAAATAAATAAAAAGCAGTCCATTTGGGGAATGATTTGACCAAAAGTACCTCAGAAATGAGTGATGATGACCAGTTCTTTCATTATAATTTATCCATTTGCTGTTAGTGGGAGACCAGAAATAGGATTTATGGGTGCATAGATGACTCATAACTTCACCCAGAAGTCCTGTCTCAAGAAACTGTCTTGGCTGAAGATGCTGGGGGAGAGGAAATGAAAGAGCCAACATACTGGCCATACCTGCAGTGGTTAGTGGAAGAAAAAGTATGGACAGGGCAGACATACTGAATGTGCTGCATTCCAGAGACTAGGGGGTCGGAGATGATGAACCCCCTGTTGGAAATTGGTATTAAACGATGACAGGCATATAGAAACTTGTCAATCAACATAGAACTGGTACTCTTAGCCACTGGACGCTGGGGTTAACACTGAGTTGAGGATCTGGGCACCTGTGGGCGTGTGCAGAGTTCAATGATGATATCCTAACTAACTAATCGAGTAGCAGAAAGTGTATTGATCGGCACTCATAGAAAGAAGTAGAAAGATAGAAGAACACACTAGACAACATAAAAATCGAAAGTTATAGTTACCGTGCCGAGAATTGAACCTGTCACCTCCAGACGGCGTCTACCCCTCGCCATGAATACAAGTGCACTAACTAACTAAGCATTTAGAAATGCGATGCGGGGAAAAGAGAGAATATATGCCAGTCAACTTCTACCGGATACGTTGAGCATGGAGACACTGAGATGGCTGCTGCATTGGAGGATGGAGCACGAATAGGTGGGACTTATGTGTTGAGAGGTCAGTATGGCAACTCCCCTTATTGGTTCTGGGGCCCCAATGTTGGGCAAAGAAGAATAGTTGCTCTGAGAAGGTGAACTGATAATAAATACAGTTTTGACCAGTCATCTGTCACACCTGACGTGAGCTCTCTTCTTCTTTTTCTGCCCTCTCCTGATAAATCATAGGCCCTCAACCAACTCATGCCAAGTTGTTCTATATTTGTCATCGTGTACAGCTCACCTGATGTTTTCTCCATCTTGTTTAAATTTCTATCTCTTATTCTTTTCTCTGTGTGTTTTTGTTTGTATGCTTGTTTGCATTTATTCATTTTCAGCCTTGAGTGGGTACTGGGTAGTCTTGGGAAGTAAAGGTGACTGGCATGAGGTCACCCACTGAATGCTGATTAGTCTGTACGTTATAAGTAGGCTTTATATGCTCAAGACACCTGGAGGCGTGGAAAAGTCTTCATTTTATTCCTTTGGCCTATTTTGTCCCAATGAAAGAAATTCTGTAGTTAGAGCAATGGATTCTCATGCAGAGAAACCTAGGTTTAATGCTCAGCAAGGAATGGAACTTTTTTCTGTTGGAGACGGTGATCACTGGACTTACACTAATTTTTTAAAAAGGGGGTCAGTACGATGTTGACAGCATCATCAGTTGAGTTCTTATTGGTCTATACAAATATGGCACTAGCATCTTAAACCAATAAGAAATATTCTTCTTCAGCATTCCGATCCCGTGAAGTTCATTGCTGCAGATATCACCCGCCTCCATTCATCTCTCTGGTTGGCCTTTTCTTTCCAGTTGGTAACACCCAGTGTTTGCAGGTTTGTCTGGATATTATCTCTCCATCGTCTTCTTGGTCTCCCTCGTAGTCTACGACCATTCATCTCCCTGGTGTATACAGTTTTTACTTCTCTGTCATCTGACATTCTTTCAATACGTCCCAACCATTTTAGTCTATTAGCTGTCATGATACCAGTGATCATTGGTGATAAGAAATATTTACGTGTCTCCCCCCCCCCCACCCCCCTACCCCCGAATCTTTTAAAAAAAATAGTCCCTTTTCACGCCAGTGGCGCACAGAGCATATGACAAATTGGCTATCCTCGGAATTACGGTCCCAAATTATTGAGGTCGAAAATATACCCTAACAGGGCCTCACATGTCAATTGCAGACTTCCGGCGACTACCGCCACCGCCGAGAGTATCTCCCAAGCCGCTACACGCGGCGTGGAGTGTGGCTAAACAAGATGGCTGGGACTCACGAGCAGATAAAATGAAGGAAGCTGCAGGAGATGCGGTAGCTGCTGCTTGTGAGTCCCAGCCATTTAGTTTAGCCCCGCTCCACGCCGCACATAGCAGCGTGGGAGATACTCTCGACGGTGGCAGTAATCGCCGGAAGTGCGCAATTTAAGTTGCCGGAAGTCCGCAGTTGAAATGTGACTGAGGCCCTGTTAAGGTATATTTTCAGCCTCGATAATTTGGGACCATTATTCAGAGGATAGCTGACAAATTGATGCCTTGTGAGTGAGGGGATGTGGTCAACTTCATGCTAGCCGCCTTTACTTCCCAAAGCATTATCTAGGTTGGGTCAGCCCGGGAAACCTAAGTCAGTATTGAAAATCCCTGTGGGGGTTCCGGGGTCACGTTGTGGGGGAAACAAGAACAGACCCACTGCCTGCCCACATGCATGTCGTAGTAGTTGACTCATTGGGAGCTTCCTTGGAAGCCAGTGCATCTACCTGAAAGGCAAGCAACCAACAGTCTGCATACAATTTTGTCAGATATGTAAAGCTGATGTGCACGTGACACCCAGATTCTGGAACAGGGCTAGTCCAGAAGTGGACGACCAACCAGAACTTTCTACTGGAGTTAACAGCCAGCGAAGAAGAAAGCAGTATTGAAAATTGAAAAAAGGCCGCCAGTTGAGTGCCAAGCACTACGCTGCCATCTACTTTTCTCATCTATTTTTCCCATCTACTTTTTTTTTTAAATTAAAAAGCAAAATTAGTTTTATTTCCCTTCTGTTTTGATTTTGGGGCATGCTGAATTTATTTTAGCATAACTGAAATGGATTTCAGTGACGCCTGTGAAATGTGTCTTGTTTCTGTTGTTCATAGTTATTGAGAATCTCCCTATGGAGATGAGAGAAAAGCTCACAGAAATGAGAGAGATGGATTTGCAAGTATCAAGTGAGTGACTAAAAGATATCATTTGCTTTTATTTGATCATGAAAAGTAATGGTTCTTTTAATTTCAGTTGACAGACAAATGTGACAGACAGATAAATGACTTAGGGGTACAGTATTAGTTGTTGGGTTCATATGTAAATGTAAAAAACGTTTACACAAATATCTGAAGATGTCACATACATACATACATACATACATACATACATACATACATACATACATACATACATACATACATACATACATATATATATATATATATATATATATATATATATATATATATATATATATATATATATATATACACATACACCTGATCCAATGGGTATTGGAGTGGAGGCTTGTTCTTTTTAGATAAGTGCCAGAAAACAGCATCAGTGTATAGGTTGCACAGATAACAAGATCTTTAACAGCTGGAAATCACAAAATAAAATATTCATATATGCTTCTTTCTTGGCTGACATTAATTGTTAGTAATGTGTACTTACAGTGGCGTATCTAGTCAGTCAGGTGCTGTCTCCACATTAAAGGTTGGCAGCAGTGGATCTCTAGCATGCTCGGTCATTCCCCCTGGATGCGCACACTGTTCACATTGCCATCTCTTGCTATTATCCTCTCACTTGTATTGCTGTCTGTCTCTTGCTCACTCGCCTTATTTTCGCTTTGGTATGAGCTTTTATAAGAGTGTTTTGTTTTTTAATGTAGCTGAAATATTTCACTCGTCTTTTTTTGTTTTAAATTTCTGTCAGAAACTCTCTTTCTATCCCGTCTTTTGAGGCTCTCTATACTTTAACTTGTATTTTTTTTCTCTTATACTCAGTCTTGAGGTTTTTCAGAGGGATTAAAGCCATTTCTGATGGGCAAGGATTCATTTTCGGACTCCACCATTGGGCTCCTGGTTGAGGTTTGATTGCAGGTTTCCCTTATGGATTCTAGGGCCCTAAGAAGATGAGGGGGGGGGGGGGGGGAGAGACACATTGCCCCCTCCTGCCCCTCCACACCTACACACACACACACACCATCCAGCAGCCATGTTGTAAAAGGTGACTAATTAGAGGTTTGTGTAAACAGGATGTGTTAGGTAGAAAGGCGCACATATCACAGCATAGCTATACACAGTTACACTACGTGCTCTTCTTCTCTCTTTTCTGCCTTTCTATCCCCCAATGGAGCATAGGCCCTCAACCAACTCACGTGCTAGCTGTCCTTTTAAATGTAGATGCAGAAGAAGAAGACATTTTATTGAAGTTTTTCTTCTTCTTCTTTCATTGGCTTGAAATAGATTATCTGTATCTGCTTTATTGAAGTGATATTGCTTATGTTATTGTTCCCCATCCATTGTTTAAACTCTTCACAACTTTTTCTAGCTTCACTTTCTTCTCTTACATAGTATTTCTCCACATAAGGCTAATTTCTGCCATCCGTCACTTCTTTTGATATTCCTCATAATTTGCATGTGTATTGTTCTTATGTTGATAACATGTTTGTATCTTGAGTTCTTCATAGCAAAGTGGTTGCACGATTTCCTTTGGATTCTCTTCTTCTTCCTTGTTTTCACCAGCTGTAGACTCTGGCTGAAAGTTCTGGTTGTTCGTCCACTTCTGATCTTGTTCCAGAACTGAAGTTTTGTGTACACAGTTTTGACAGATCACAGAGTTTTGACAGATCACAGAGTTTTGACAGATCACAGAGTTTTGACAGATCTGGCTTATTTATCTGCAGACTAGTTTGTCGTCTCTCTCTGGCAGATGCACCCCAACTTCAGAGGAAGCCCTCTAGTTAGCTGCCTTTTACAACATGCATGTTAAGGGGGCTGTGGATCTATTCCCCCCTCCACCCCCTTCCAAATAGGGCCCTAGAGGTCATGTAGGAGCCTTTTGATTCAGAAGGGCAATGATTCAGTTTCAGACTCAGTTATTGGGTGCAGGTTCCCTTTGTGGGTCCCAGGGCCCCATTTTGAGTCAAGCATGTCTTAAAAGGCAACTAATTAAGGATTTGTTAAAATCGGATGTGTTGAGCTGAAAGGTGATGATGTCATAGCCTAGCTCTAACCCACAACATGCCAGCTTCCCTGTAAAGGATGAACACAGGAGAAGAAGAGTGCAGGTGTTTTGGTGGATCCCTGTGGGTTGTCACCAGAGCTACAGTGTTTTTGCTTTGTGTGGTGCTCTCTGTAGGCAACCAGCCACTCTGGATAAGCTCAGTAGAATAAAACCTAGTGAGATGAAAGTAATCCTCTCTCCTTTTAACGAATACCTCTCTTATCTACGTTTGTATATAAATGCACATATAACTGATTATCTTGAATATGTTATTTCAAATCAGATACACTAGACACATTAGAGGAAAGTGTCAAAGCTTACTTCAAGAAATGCCAACAGCCAAACTGTAAAAAAGACTGGCGAGAAGAACAGTTTAAAAAAATCAAGGAGGTAGGTTGTTTGTTGTGTGCTTTATGTATTCATGGTTATTTTATAAGTGTATAATATGACCTGATGCCAAGAAGAAATTAGTCTTCACCAGCGCAATGCAAAAATAAAAATAATATTTTTTAAAGTTCAAGAGTGACCTTTATCACGCCAGGGGCACATCGTTTAAATGGTGCTCAAGTCATAGTGATAGTGTTGCAGACCTGCACCCATGAACTGAAACGAACTCACGACATTGAAAGCATAAGGCAGACAACCTGGCACTTTGCCGCGAAAGACCCCCTGTCGTCACACTGTTACCGCGAGACATTCAGGTGTCTGAGTAATGATGCTAGCTGCGTACCGGCACTTTTTATAGCATCGGTTGTTTAAGCACTATTGTAATAGACACTTTGTTGTGGGTACCGGCACCTGTTTTTGTTGGGGTGGGGGGGGGGGAGTTAACTGCATAAAAATAAAAGGCTTCAGGAAAATGTTGAAATAAAATATGATGAATTCAAGAGACTGAAGAAATAAGAGAAAAGTCTGAGCAACCACTGGTAACCACAGTTGTAAGACAAAGAAGGTGCAGCTATATTGGCACATCCTGAGAAGAAATGAGCAGAGAATCACAAAACAGGCAGTGAAATGGGAATAAACAACTGAGGAAGTGAGGACACCCAAAGAAACTCTAAAGCGAATGTTGGGGAGAGAGGCTAAAGGTGCTGGACTGGATTCCGTCCATGATATTAAATTGATTGCACAGGATGGAATGGAGGAAAAGACTGCTAGCCTTATGTGGCATGTAATGGCACAGCTGGATGATGATGACAAATCAACATGTGATTTGATCATCAACATGATGGCCACCTTCATTTCCCAGGACATTACCTTTTAGATTGGGCCGGTATGAGAACCAAGGATATTTTACAATTGACTCTTGACGTCACCACAACTCTGCCTCAGTGTCTGTGAATATATCTTTGGCCATCCCCAATCTACAGTTTATTGCCAAGAATAGTTCACTGTATATTATCATGCCCAAGTGTGTACTTACCATCGCATCAGTCTTGAGTTCGTTTTAAAAAAAAAAAGTTGATGTTGTTTCTGAAAAAAAAAAAAGGCTCTGAAAATAACAGCTAGACTTGTTTTAGTGTATTGATGTATTTGCTGCATGTGTACCTTCTGTGTTCAGTTTTATTGATCAAGTTGTATGAGCTGGCCTGTTGCCAGGAGGAATTCAAATTCTTTACCAGGTCATAGTAAAAAAAAACAGAAAAAGTAAAAAACCCAACAGCACAGTCCATAAAATATGTAGCAAATAATTGTTTTAATTTCCTGGTTAAAAATGATAAAAATAACTGGTCACTTTATTTTTATTAGCTTTATTTAGGGCCGGATTGCTTCACACTTTACAGTCTGTGTCATAGGGTTGCTTTTACTTAAGTGTGCTTTTTTAATATTTTTTTTTAATGAAATCTTTTTTGTTCTTTTATTCTTGAAATGTTTTTATGTTTTAACATGAACTCTTTGCAGGAATATTACAAGGCACTGGGAGACACAGATGAGAAAGTCCAGCTAGCAAATCATATATATGAGCTTGTGAGTTATATCCTTACTTTGTCTTGTTTCAGTATAAACAGTAACCTGTTTTGTTAGGAGCAGAGAAAGAGGTCTTCACACATGTACCCATCGAATGTTCAGCAACTGCAAGCAAAAATGCATCTTTCCTATTACAACTTATAGATGTGAGTCACGGACTCTTACTTAGTCACTGAAGAAAAATCAGAGCTTTTGAACTGAAATGCTACAGAAAAATTCTTAGAATACCATGGAACAAAAATGAAAAAAAAACAACACCTACATCATCTGAGCATTAAGGAGAATTGCCTCACACAGAGCATCCTCTCCCCAAAGTTGGGTTATTTTGACCATGTTAAACATCATGGTGGCCTGAAGAGAACGGTGATGGAAGGTAGTTTCTGGAAAATGAGGCAGAGGCAGACCTCTGTGAAAGTGGATAAAAGACCTTGAAAATACATTGGCTGTGAAAGCACATAGGGCTAGACAAAGAGAGACTTTTAGGTGTGATGTGAGCGATATTCTGTAAAGGACATGCTGATTGATGATGACTGAATAGAATTTGATCACACAACTGGGCATCAGCTTTCAGTTAAGTAAGAGGGTTCCCTGTTTGGCTTGGAGGGAATCATTGTGGGGAAAACAAGAATGGACCCACTGACTACCCAACAAACATGTTGTAAGAGTCGACTCATTGGGGGCTTCCTTCGAAGTCGGAGTGCATCTGCATGAGAGGCAAGGAACCAACAAACTGCACACATTTAAGTCATATCTGTTAAACGGATGTGCATGCAACACTCAGGTTCTGGAACAAGACTAAAGTCCAGAGGTGGACAAACAACCAGAACTTTCCCCTGGGGTTTACAGATGGGGAATGCGAAGAAGGAGAAGAAGAGTTAAGTAAGTTTCCTGTGCTGACTGGATCAAACAAACAAAACAAGACGTCTGGGTATTTTGATGTTCAAGTGTCTTGATATCAGCAGGTGAAAATGTAAAAAACAATGCAGAATAATTCCAGCAAAAGCAGCATTTTACATGATAACGAATATTTTATGCAACAAATCTTTGTTATTTGAGGAGAGAAAGAGTTTATGAGAGCTCTTATAGAACATCAAAATACATGGAAGAGCATCATTGACAACAGATTGGCAGGGAACCAAGTCTGCTTGCAAATGAGTCAGACCTATGAAACGTATGTACATGCAAAACTCAGTTTCTGGAACAGGACTGGAGTCCAGAAGTGAATGAACAACCAGAACTTTCCGCCAGAGTTTGCAGCCGGTGAATGCGAAGAAGAAGGACAACATTAAAGTTGGAAGGGAAGAGAAGCAAGGGGAGACTCAGAGAAGATGTTTGACATCATGGCATGAAGAGGCATAGATATCAAAAAAATTTGGAAGTACATGGATAGGAGACTGGACTGGACATACTTGGTGACCATGTCTGGAAACCATTTACCTAAAGCCATGAATGGGGTAATATGGCAGTATAGTTGAACATTACATCATAGCACTAGTGATGGGCATTTTGAATCATAGACTGATGCTGTAGTAATTTCATGAGTGGAGTCTCACATAAACACTGAAGAGCTGCAGTGGCTGCCTCTAACTCCATTCACATTACTTTCAAAAGATAAACTATCACATAACAGGAAAGAACAACTGAAGAGCACAGGGCAACAGTGTTAGAACCACACATACTAATGGATGAAATAGAAAAAGTCATTAAGCAGTCTCCCAAATATAAAGCACCAGGAGCTGATAGATTACCAACAGAAATAATTCAAACAGCAGGTGACAGCAGCAACAGATGGCTTCACAGAATATTTAATGCAGCATGGGTACAACAAACTGCCCCTATTGATTGGCAACATGCAATAGTTATACCATTGTGGAAGAACAAAGAAAGCAAACGAGAATGCGGTCAATACCGAGGCATCTCTCTTTTAAGCCATGTTGGTAAAATGTATGTCAAGATAATAGAAACAAGACTGAGATCAGTGATAGAACCACAGCTGGCAGAAGAACAGATGGGATTTAGAAATAGAAGCTGCACAGATGCAATCTTCACACTTAAACAGTTAATAGAAAAGAACATTGAATACAATAAGAACTTATTTGTGGCCTTCGTAGACCAGGAGAAGGCATTTGACAGAGTCGACAGACAATTATTATGGAAAGTAATGGCAAGATATGGAGTAAGCGAACACCTCATCGAAGTGTGCAAAAGTTTATACAGGGTTTGTAGAAGTGTAGTTAGAATAAATCAGGGAACATCTCATCCATTCACAGTAACATCTGGAGTAAGACAGGGGTGTGTCTTATCACCACTGCTGTTTATCACCTACATCGACAGTATATGCAAGAATGCCAAGCCCATGAATGAAAATGTTAGTAAGATCAACGAATTACTCTTTGCAGATGACCAGGCCTTGATAGCAGATACAGCCATGAAATTGCAACAACATCTAACATCCATGAATGAAGAATGTAAAACAAATAATATGAGAATCAACACTGAAAAGACAGAAGTAATGTCAATAGGAAAAAAGAAGACAGATCTAAACATAGCAATAGAATACAAAGGCATTAAACAGGCATCTGAGTTTAAATATCTGGGAACTACATTTACCGAAGATGGGAAATTGGATAAAGAAATTAACATTAGATGCAGTAAAGCAAACCAAGTATTGGGACAGCTAGCCCCCCTCTTACAGCATAAGACAATCCCAATCAGCACAAAGAGACATCTTATTCAAAGCATATTTATTCCAACTCTGTGCTACCAGTGCCAGACATGGTCACTCACAACAAACCATAAAAGAAAATTAGTAACCATGGAAATGAGATGTCTGAGAAGGGCTGTGGGAGTGATCATAAGAGAAAAAGTCGGCACGGAACCAATTCTGGATTACATACGAAGACAGCAGGTGAAATAGTTTGCCCACTTAGAGAGAATGCCTTGTGACACCATACCATACAAAGCATACATGGAAAGAGAAGAATTACGTAGAGCACAAGGTAGACCAAGAACAAGATGGAAGAATAACATCAGAGAAACTCTACAACAGCACGATGTGCCTATGGTCAAGGCGGCCAGAAGAGCTAGAAACAGAACCTTATATCTCCCTCGACACCCACAGCGGTAAAAGATTAAGTGAAGAAGAAGAACCATCACATAGCATTTTTGTAATATGATATTGTAAATCAAAATGTTGAACTGTAAATAGTAGTTTTAAAAACAAAATTTCGTATTTTCAGTTGTAATGTTATTTCACTTTTAACATGTGGCAGTGAAAGTTTGAGAACCACTAAAGATGTGGGGAAAAAGTTAAACACATTTGAAAAGAAATGGCTGTCAAAAATGTTCAACATAAAATCGAATGAATTTAAGAGGAGTGAAAAATTAAAAGAATTGTGGTAACACCGGTTATAAGAAGCAACAGTAATAAGACAAAGAAGACGGTGCTGTATTGGACATATCCAGGTTGAATAAGAATGAAGGAATAGACTGCAAGCGCTGTGTGACATAAAATGACACTACAGGACAATGAATTTGTCTTCTTCTTCTTCAGCATTCCGAGCCCTTGAGGTTCATTGCTGCAGATATCACCCGCCTCCATTCATCCCTCTGGTTGAATGAATGATATTGTGAATACTGCAGATTAACATTTAAAAAAATAATTTCTTTTGCCTTTTTTTTCTTTCTCAGGTTGATAGACATTCTAGAAGGTTAGACCAAGAACTTTCTAAATTTAAGATGGAGTTAGAAGCTGATAATGCAGGAATTACAGAAATCCTGGAGAAAAGTGAGTTTTCTGTCTTTCCATTTCAGTGCATGAATAGATTTCACTGTTCTGAATGCTTAGATTACATTATCAACAACCTAACTAGTACAGTAGTTTGTATCACTTTATCATGGTTCTCGAAGAGTGTTCAATATGTGAGCAGTTTGTGTGTGTGTGTGTCTCATCAGATTGTCTTGCATGTCTGTGGCTCTAGGTTGTAAATGCAGTTTCATAACCCCAAAATTCCAGATACTGTTCAGCTGATGGCAATAAGGCAGCAGGTCACTTTGCATTGATTTCAACAACAGTATGAGTGTCAGCTGTTCAAAAAGGGACGGCAGACTGCTGAATATAAATTGTCTAGTTAAACCAAAAACAGCCAGCAAATGCTGGGTTGGTTTGAAAAGTTGTGTAAAAAATATTCAGTTAACTTTAACCTTGCATATTCCTTCCTTGAACTGAACATTTCAATGTTTTGCATATTCTCTCTATGAACTGAACATTTCAATGATTGTTTCAATGTCTTGTATATTCTCTCCATGAACTGAACATTTCAATGATTATTTCAATGTTTTGCATATTCTCTCTATGAACTGAACATTTCAATGATTGTTTCAATGTTTTGCATATTCTCTCCATGAACTGAACATTTCAATGATTATTTAAAGGCAACATATTAGGAAAACTAAATAGTGTTTACTTAGGATCCGATTAATTTAGAAAACATTTTGTTTATTATTCTGCAGGGTCTTTGGAATTGGACAAACCTCCGCCCAGCTTGACCAATCACAAAACTGAAAGTGAGTTTGCTATTTATAGCTGGGACACGGATGTGCGAACATTTCTCAGTGATTTAATAAGGACACAGACAATACCACAGTAACTTTTTTGTTGGTACATTTTGTTATATCTTGTCATGTGCATACCCAGTCATCATTATCATCAAGATCCTTGCCAGCTGGCATGGGCGATCATGCCTCTCCACAACTTGATTTGATTGATTGACGTTTTACCCCACCAGGACATCACACCGAGCGATAAACACCTGGTGACACAATGTGCCATCATTGGGTAAGGATCACCCAGGGACAGGTCACAGAAATCCTGTTCAGCCCATGGGTTGGGTTATATTTAGGGCCCCCAACAACAGCCAGATAATGAAAAATTGCATCCCACATGGGGCCGTATGTTGGTAATGTATTTTACTCCACAACTTGCTGTCTCCAATGACATGTATCAGTTTTTATGCTGTCACTCTTCCTTGCCATGACAGAAAGTTGTCATCTCACATTGTTTTCCTAATCTCTCTTTCCACAAATCTTTCCATTCGTCACATGACCCAATTTCTTTCTTCTCACAACATGGCCAAACAGTGGTGATGTCTCTTTCCGACAGATGCATACTACAAAATTAAATCAGCATTTAATGAAGCACATAAATAAATCCTTTTGGCTGAAATAACACAAATCACATAGTCCACTTTTACTTTGTCACAGCGGAAGTCTTTGATTAACCATTTGATTCTGTGTAAGGTGATTGGCATGTGAATTTAAATTTATATGCATTTTGGTTTACAAAGACACTCGTTCTTTAACAGGTGAAGTTGAAACAGGATGATCTTGCCACAGTTGTCCCCATTACCCTGCAACCTGTTGACCCTAGACCTTCTTTCAGGTTCTGTCCCTTCCATTACTGTTCTTTAAAAGCCACTATGTGTGTTGTCCATCAAGATGATGATGATGACCACTCTTTTTCATCAAGTTTGAGTACGAAGATGACTGATAAGGCTGATGTGGGCCTGAAAAGTTCTTGGACAGTAAGGACAGGGAATGAGTGTTGTGCCAGGGAGGGGATCTCCTGCAGTCGCCTCTCTGTCCATCCTTTTCTTAAAGCCACTGTAGAGATAAATATAATCCAGATATTTTAGTTTTCCAGACCTTATGCTATTTATTAGCAAATGTTTAGATCTTGTCCGTTATATTGTACGGTGTTCAATCCTGACTGTAGGTCATTTGGTAACTGATGGCCTTACTTTTCATTGGCTTCACTAGTGGTATCAAGAGCCAAGCATTTAGAAAGCAGTGGCAAACGGCCAGACATAACATTGCCTAGTGAAATTACAAACAGTCAAAATATGTGCTGGGCTAATATGTAGAATATGAACTTGATGTATGTAGATAGATAAGGAATGCCAAGGAAGCACAGTAGCTGGCACACTTGCCTGGCAGTCGTGGGTTCAGAGTATCGCTTTTTAAAAATTGACCAGAGTTCCCCTGGTCGACCCAGACCAAAATGGCGATCAGGACATTTTTAGGGAGTGAAAAAACTAGCATACAGTTGACTGTGTCATTCATGGTTGGTTATCTTCTTGGCATTCATCGGCTGAATACTCGGGCTGATAGTTCTGGTTGTTCGTCCACTTCTGCTCCAGAACTTCAGTTTTGCGTGGACATCCGTTTTACAGATCTGGCTAATTTGTATGCAGTCTGTTGGTTCCTAGCCTTTCAGGCAGATGCACTGCGTCTTTAAAGGAAACACCTGTAATTAGTTGACTTTTACAGCCTGCATGTTAGGGGAGCAGTGCCCCCCCCCCCCCCTTCCTTTTCCACAATGATACACCGGAACCCACAGTGGGAATTCCTCGTTAAAATACGGGGAATAGCCATCCAGGTATTTATCTCTTAGTCTCCCCCTGCTTCTTTTCCCATCAAATTTGCCAGTTTGTTGCTAAGTGTTGAAGCTTACTACTCCTTATAACATGTCCAGAAAATCTGTACTGCCAACGTCTATTTTCTCTAATGAGTTGATAGTTTTTGTCTTTTTCTGGAGGTTTGCCTGTTTCTACCCTTAGGAATTGAAATGTTTTGCATTTTTCTCAGAAATAAATTTTGTGGCATCATTGATGTTTTTCAGCTTATCTGCGTATTATCTGTGTTTTAGGCTGTAATTGTATATTAAATTGTAACTTAGGAAGACATTTAGGTTGTAATCATACATTACATTTTAGCTAGGAAAATATTTGAATTGTAATCATAGATTAAATTGTAACTTAGGAAGACATTTAGGTTGTAATCATACATTACATTTTAGCTAGGGAAACATTTGAATTGTAATCATAGATTAAACTGTAACTTAGGAAGACATTTAGGAATTGAGTTGATTCAAGAACCGACGTCACAGCACTTGGGGCATTCCTATAAGCGCTCAGTCCCCATCTTTAGCAGACTAATGGTGCCAGTAGCAATTTGATTAAACATCTGTCATGCCTTTCCTCTGAGCCTCAAGCATTTGCCAGAACCTCTCATCACCACCCCCTGCATCAATCTCACCAGACTGGTGATCCATCTGCTCCTCCCAACTGTACACGCTTTCCCACAAGGCACTAACCACGTCTGCCTTATCACTATTCCACAAAGTTGTGCAGAGCCAGACAGTCTGTCTGCCTGTTCATCTCCCAACACACCGGCGTAGTCCGGTGAAAAAAATCCAGACAATACTCCACACCCATGTCCTCCGCAGTAAAGCATGCCACTCTGCACGAAGCATGCCTGTCCTAATCTTTCTTAGCATGCTTTCTGAGTAAGTTACAATCCTGATGTGTGTGTGTGTCGTGTTCTCTAACCAGCGGAAAGCTGCAGTGACAGCCTCCACCTCCATTCTTAAGCTGGACATTTTGGTTGTAATCCTAGATTAAATTTTAGCTTGGATTGTAATCATAGTTTAATTTGTAACTTTGGAAGATATTTAGGTTGTAATTGTAAGTTACATTGTGTCTATTTTTTAAAATATCTACAGAGAGACGATTAACCCATACTCAGTCATTGGTGTCCAATCATGTAGACAAACGGCCAGCAGCTGAAATCCTGCCATCATTGACCAGTGAAGTAGTCAGGGATTCTTTTGCACAACAGCGTCCTAGCTCAACTTCCAGCTCCCCGGCCATGAGCATGTTTAATTCAGCAGGATCTGGCATGTCATACACCCTCGGCAACATCGGTGCTGGCAATGCTGCCATCACTGTGGCCACAACCGCGCAGACTCCTTCTGTAACACAGCAAGTATGTTCTGATCCATTTACACCTTAAGCATTTTTTTTTTGCGCACGGAAGGGGCTGTGTTATAGTGGCTAGACACTTGCCTACAGGCCCAAAGTTTGTGGGTTTGGCCATATTTTTTCTTCAGAAATGACCTTGGTTCTCAGGTCGGCCCCAGCCTGAAATAAATACCAGATAACGTGCTGGAAAGTTAAGATGGCCGGTGTAATGTTAACCCCATCACGCACTTTGTGCCAGTATAAAATATAGGTATAGCATCATATACCCAATGTGCATGAGGGAAGGGAAAAGAGTCCCTTACTTGCAAATTATTTTCTTTATAGTTAATGCTGTGTGGCATAAGTGTTCGAGTATGTCCACATTCTTCTGCCTCTGGAAAGAGAAAGAAAGAAAGATGCAAGACAATGGGGGCAGACGTCAAATCACATTTGCAACAATGCAGCAGCAGTCACATTTACTATACCAGCATCATCATAAACCACTTCTGCCATTAAAGCACCGTGGGGTGGAATAATTTGTGATCCAGTGCACGTAGGCTGGCTCTGGCTATTGTCATGTCTTGAAGGTTGTTGCATTCTGACAAATGGCCATACCAAATTAACTGTACCAGTAAGCACATTTTGTTGAGTTGGTATTTCATTTTTATTTTTTTCATGGTCAATTCCATATGGAATTAGCTATCATATCTTGTACAGTCTGCTGTCTCATGTTCTGCCAGTGATTTCTCATATATGATTTCCTCCATGCCATGATCCCACACTGTCAAATATATTATTTCTTGGTCTCCCCCTATCTCTTCCCTATCAAAGTTTCTGTTGTGGCATTCTCCAGTGTTTCCCTTCTCATGACATACCCAAGAATGTGAACTACCTTTTTTCTCTTTAATGCAGGCAGCAATTTTTTGATTTTCTGTACGTTTGTATATTTTAAGACATCTTTATTGTGTTCATCTTTATTGTGTTCATCTTTATTGTGTTCTTTATCCGTCCATGGCATTGCCATCCTCCTCCTGTAGAACATCATATATGCAGCTTCCACATGGTTTATTGCTAATCAGTAAACTGTCCATGATTCACTTCTGCACATCAGCATTGAGTCTATACAGCTTTAAAGAAGACATTTCACACTCAAATAATATTATTACAATCCTTATCACACTTGACATAATCTGCAGAAAGATTCTGGGTACAGTAGACACTTTGTCAAAACACTGATTGATGAGAACATAGAAGTAGGTAGGGCTGTGTTTATACACAGCTCAATCAGTTATTCAGGACATGGGAATTCACAGTGAGTTCAGAACCCTCATGGAATCATATGTCATCCTTCATATGTCCTTCAAAATAACAAATTACTTTGGAATAAAGTAATTTCTCCCACTTTTCCCTGAGGTTCAGTCTTCAATATGATGACGCATCCAGGGATCACACATCCTGAAATCTTCTATATTGATATAAAATGCATTTCAAGTTCAGAGGATCAGTTTCATTGCACTGGGTATTGTCCCTTGTCTATCTCTGCAGGGAGGCAAACGAACAAATGTTTTTATTTTAAAGGGGCACAAATTGGGCCTGCAGACCCATTTAACATTCTGCTCTTCCAAACACCACCCTTTTTTCACACATGAGTTGTATTTTATCAATAAAGCATGTTATGTTTATAAAACAATATGCATAATATGAATATCAAGGAAAAACAAAAGCATAGATGGTAAATGCATGAGCACTGGCATACACACACACACACACCTGCTCACACATTCACTCACTCACCAACTCTTCACTCACACATACATACATACATACATACATACATACATACATACATACATTCATTCATACACACATACATGCATGCACATACATAAACACATACATATATACATACACACACACATGCATGCATGCACATATTTACATACATACACACACACATACTATATACATACACACCCACCTGCATACTACATACCCACTCAATCGAATGCATACACTCTCATATATTTCCACACATTTTCTCTCATACATATGTACATTCATAAAAATACCCACACATTTAAATATAAACATGCATACGCAAATGATCATATGTAAAAACGCATGCACAATCAAACATACACACACATGCATATCTATACATAGACCCACTCTCATACATACATACATGCACAAACACCTATATACACACATCCACTGGTGTTATAAAAACACATGCACCTACACTCATACACATACATGCATGCACATTTATACTCACATCCAGCAGACATTCATACACTTAGGTTTACACATGCTTTTATACATCAAAGACAAGCATACCAACCCATACATACATACATACATACATACATACATACATACATACATACATACATACATACATACATACATACATACATACATACATACATACATACATACATACATACATACATACATACATACATACATACATACATACATACATACATACATACATACATACGTACATACATACACACACACACACACATACACTCATGTATACACATGGTTTCATACATACAAAGACAAGCATGCCGACCCATGCATACGTACACATACCTATTTACACTCACAGAAGTCCACCCATCAAGAGTGTCAGACAAAGCACAAAATGCCTTGATTTCACTCTCTTGGGATCTCCGAAACCCCTGCACTTTGAATTGAACGACTGAGTTCAAAACAAAAACCATAACCTTTAGAGTACAAGGTTACAGAACAGCCATATGCATTATATAATTAATCAAGAAAATAAAAATTCAGGTTAAGGCAGCCATTAAGAACCAGTTGGAACACTTTCCAACCAGAATGCAATCCTGAAGACTTAATCAGCCTCCCCACACTAAAGCAACCAATCAGTGTGTTTAGATTTTGAACTAGACATGACAGATTCTGCAGTCTGTTGTTCAAGAAATTCAAGTCTAGAGACTCATAACTTTGCCCATGTAAGCAGGCATCCCAGAATAGGGAACATGTGCTGCAGACTTGCTCTCTACACGCAGTAGGGAGATCCCAGTTCTGGGCCAGTTAGCATTCCGGTGGAAATCAAGCTATATAGATCAGCGGTGAACATTCATCGCACCACAGCCTTCATAGAGGCCTGTGGCCTTCTCATCTGAGAATTGCTGACAGGGTTGACAAAAACAGGAGCATTAGAAAAACAGTTCACAACTTCATCACAGAAACTCAAATTCAATGATTTGCTCTTTACCAAACAAGCTGATATAATTTAACAGTCCAGTCCGCAGCATATGTGTAACTGTTGTGTTAAGATTTGACTTACTGATGTATATTTTTCAGTCACTTGATCCGCGATGTAGCTCAACTGTGAATCCAATCGGTGGTCATGGGTTGAAATTCGAACAGAACTGGACAATGTTTTTTTTTTTTTTTTTCAAAACCGGCCTTTGCTCCCAGGTGGACCCAGCCTCAAGCGGGTACCTGGTAAAAATCATAGGAAGTAAAGGCAGCTAGCATGATGTTGACCACATCACTGACCAAGTGCCAGTTGATCTATTAAATACATGTGAAGCAGTGTATGTCATCTCTGTGGCTAAGTCGATGCAAACGCTTGGTAATGCTGGGGTGCCGGGTTTGATCCCAGCTGCGGGCCATGCGCCTTGCGTTGGTTTCGACAGTGGTATCAAGAAAGCCTACCATCCAGAAAGCAATGGCAAACTACTGGACAATAATTTACATAGAAAAACCACACAACAGCCAGGGGCTGTTGGGGTTGGTTCTTCAACGTCCTGTAAAGGATACACAACTAATCAGAAGTGTATGCCAAGTACACCATAAAAAAATGTTCTTTTACTTTATCGCATTGCATTTTAAAAATCTACCTTCACAGATACCTCAGGGTCGCCGTGCATCAAATGTGAAAGCTGGTACTTATGATTTGGTGGCCAAAACCTCAGCACCGTTACCCAAAGACCTGAGTTTAAACCTTTCCCAATCTGTCTCAGCACCCTCCACACCAGAACCGGTCCCCAGGTCACAAAGAACAAAAAAGTAAGTACCACTTAATAGATTCACAGATGATTTGTAGATAAGGTTCAAATCTGCATTCCCCCCCCCCCCCCCAACCAGGTTGCGGGGCCCTCTTTCTGGTTGGGGGGGGGGGGAGGAAATAGACCCACTGCCTTCCCAACAAGCATGTCATAAAAGGTCCTTCGAAGTCAGAGTGCATCTGCCAGAGATATTAGGAACCAGCAGTCTGCACACACAAAAGCCAGATGTGCATACAGAACTTATGTTCGGGCCAGAAGTGAACAAATAACCAGATCTTTCCACTTGAGTTTACAGACGGCAAACACAAAGAAAAAGATTTAAAAAACCTGCATTGAAGCAGTTTTTTTTTCCCCTTATTGATGTTTTTACCTAGGTCTACTGAGCCTAAAATTGGTACCAGGGAATCTTCTTGAAAGTAAGGGCAGTCAATGTCAGTATTCTCAGTCGTTCATCGTGAGAAGCCAGTATTGGAGTCAGTATTCCCACCTGTTTATGATAAGTGTTTGAACATTATATTTTGTGTAAAGACTGGAGAGAATGCCTTGTGATAACACACCACACAAAGCCAAAAACTGCCAATCACTGCCTTTGTCATACCACTTTTGAGGTGAAGGCAGGAGGGTCTTTGAGCCTGAGGATTTAAGGCCGCATGGCTAGTGCTGTCCCCACGACTGTTCAGGTAAGGATTTTATTTTGTCCCTGACTGAAAAAATCCCCAGCCTTACCGAGGATTCGAACCTGGGTCTCCCGCTTGAGAGCCCAGCGTTCTAACCATTTGGCCAGCCGCTCCTTAACCATACATAGTATATACCAAAATAGGAAAGTGATGTAGACTTAAAACAAGATAAAAAGATAATATTTGATAAATTCTACAACAGAAAATACCGTTTGTCTATTGCCAGAAGCGCCCCCCCCCCCCCCCACACACACACACACAAACAAAATGTCAGGGGAAAAAAAACTCCAGGATGACATAAGAGGAAGTGGGAGCTTGGTTTACATAGGAACTTTATTATCATATTTAAAAAAAAAATCTCTTCTACCTATAGTACACTATTTAGGGCAGTGTAAGACTGGGAGGTCATCAGCCTAACAATTTATTGCCGCAAGGCTCGCTCAGTCATCATGAACTGTGCATCTTGTGGCGTTTATTTTTGTCCCTGCATTTACATTTAAGTTTTACGAATTTTTATTGATTTATAAACTAAATGTTATTGTGTTGTTAATCAGATACCCTCTCCACAGTTATGGTTGGCTGCAGTGGATCAACACACTCTGTGTCTTGTCCTGGTTGTATAAAAACTCTATCTCTTGATGTTTTCCTCCCACTTGCATAGCTGTCTGACTCTTGCTTGCTTGCCTTCAAATTTCCCGCCAGTGATATCTGTAAACACTCAGCATTCGATTGCGTTTGTCTCTATGAAATGCAACATATTCTTCTCCATATTCACATCTCTAGTGCTTCAGTTAGGCTTTGTATTTGCTTGTTCATTGTCCAGGTTTGTATGCCGTATGGTAGCATTTAGTTTACATAACATTTCACAGTTATCAATTTTAACATGTTGTTTCTGCCTCTAATTGTTACTTTTCTCATGTTATTAATATTTTGGGCCCATTTCTTTTCTCAGTTGCATTAAAATTTCACCTCTGCCGTTGTCTGTTTTCACGGTCCATTTACAGACAGACATCCAAAGCTGCAGCTCTGGCCGCTGCGCAGCAAGCAACAGCAGCCAGTGTGTCGCAGCCATCAACCCCTCAGGTCACCACCACAGAAACAGAGGAACTGTCTACAGAAGTTCAGGTTGATGAATGGAATGCAGATCCTAATGAACCCCGATACTGTTTGTGTAACCAGGTGTCGTTCGGAGAAATGGTTGGCTGTGACAATAACGATGTGAGTATCCGTGTTTGTGTATTCTATATTTTTTACAGTTATTTAAACTATTCTGCCATCTTTGATGTTGTAATATTATTTCCTGGTTTATTTTGTTTGTTTGTATTAGTTATTAGTCAGGGTTCTATCTTCATCACAGACAGGTTGTCTTCTAACTGCTCCATTATCTGTTAGTCAGGGTTCTATCTTCATCACAGACAGGTTGTCTTATAACTGCTCCGTTAGTTGTTAGTCAGGGTTCTATCTTCATCACAGACAGGTTGTCTTATAACTGCTCCGTTAGCTGTTAGTCAGGATTCTAACCTCATCACAGACAGGTTGTCTTATAACTGCTCCGTTATCTGTTAGTCAGGGTTCTATCTTCATCACAGACAGGTTGTCTTATAACTGCTCCGTTAGCTGTTAAGTCAGGATTCTAACCTCATCACAGACAGGTTGTCTTATAACTGCTCCATTATCTGTTAGTCAGGGTTCTATCCTCATCACAGACAGGTTGTCTTATAACTGCTCCATTATCTGTTAGTCAGGATTCTAACCTCATCACAGACAGGTTGTCTTATAACTGCTCCATTATCTGTTAGTCAGGGTTCTAACCTCATCACAGACAGGTTGTCTTATAACTGCTCCATTATCTGTTAGTCAGGGTTCTAACCTCATCACAGACAGGTTGTCTTATAACTGCTCCGTTAGCTGTTAGTCAGGATTCTATCTTCATCACAGACAGGTTGTCTTATAACTGCTCAATTATCTGTTAGTCAGGGTTCTATCTTCATCACAGACAGGTTGTCTTATAACTGCTCCGTTGGCTGTTAGTCAGGATTCTAACCTCATCACAGACAGGTTGTCTTATAACTGCTCCGTTGGCTGTTAGTCAGGGTTCTATCTTCATCACAGACAGGTTGTCTTATAACTGCTCCGTTAGCTGTTAGTCAGGGTTCTATCTTCATCACAGACAGGTTGTCTTATAACTGCTCCGTTAGCTGTTAGTCAGGGTTCTATCTTCATCACAGACAGGTTGTCTTCTAACTTCTCCATTATCTGTTAGTCAGGGTTCTATCTTCATCACAGACAGGTTGTCTTATAACTGCTCCGTTGGCTGTTAGTCAGGGTTCTATCTTCATCACAGACAGGTGTCTTATAACTGCTCCGTTGGCTGTTAGTCAGGGTTCTATCTTCATCACAGACAGGTTGTCTTATAACTGCTCCGTTAGCTGTTAGTCAGGGTTCTATCTTCATCACAGACAGGTTGTCTTATAACTGCTCCGTTAGCTGTTAGTCAGGGTTCTATCTTCATCACAGACAGGTTGTCTTATAACTGCTCCATTATCTGTTAGTCAGGGTTCTAACCTCATCACAGATAGGTTGTCTTATAACTGCTCCGTTATCTGTTAGTCAGGGTTCTAACCTCATCACAGACAGGTTGTCTTATAACTGCTCCGTTAGCTGTTAGTCAGGGTTCTATCTTCATCACAGACAGGTTGTCTTATAACTGCTCCGTTAGCTGTTAGTCAGTGTTCTATCTTCATCACAGACAGGTTGTCTTATAACTGCTCCATTATCTGTTAGTCAGGGTTCTAACCTCATCACAGACAGGTTGTCTTATAACTGCTCCGTTATCTGTTAGTCAGGGTTCTAACCTCATCACAGACAGGTTGTCTTATAACTGCTCCGTTAGCTGTTAGTCAGGGTTCTAACCTCATCACAGACAGGTTGTCTTCTAACTGCTCCGTTAGCTGTTAGTCAGGGTTCTATCTTCATCACAGACAGGTTGTCTTAGGTTGTCCGTTCCTGTGCTAGACACAAAAGGTCCTTCTTTGTCCTATTTGAAAACTACTCAGTCCCAGCAAAATCTTGTAGTTTTGCACATTCAAAGTAAAGATTTATAAGACAGCTGTCAGATGTGCCAGCACTGACAGTCCCACACCAGAAGAGCAGCTCACGAAAACCGGCATTGCACACGTAAAAGTGTAGGCCATTGTGAACATAAGCGGCCTCTTGCCATTTTAGTGCAGTAAATGGCACAGCACGGCAGAAGAACACGTTTTGCATGACATCCACGGCTCATAGTGTTGCACCAAGCACTCAACTCAGTAGCTGGCCGCTGTAACTTTAGGACTTCCACTCCACAAATGGGGAATTCACATCAGCAAAATCTAGCTAGAAAACAAGCATGTCCTAAGAAGCAACCAATCAGAGGTCATTCCTTTGAAGTCTAAATGCAGCGCTTCTTGAAATGTGAAGAACCAACTGGCTGCGTATAAATGAGCCAAATCCGTAGACAAATACAAGCAAAATTCAAGGTCTGGAACAAGATCAATGTTCTGAAATGGATGAACAACCATAAATTTCTGCCGATGTTTTTTTGTGTGTGTGTGGTACTAATGGATGCTGAGAAGAAGAAGAAAACAGTTAACCTCGATGAGGGTTTGAACCTATAGCCAGTGTAGGTTGGCAGACAAGCTAGCCACTGCACTACTATAGTTTTCTCCACCTGATAAGACATTTAAATAACAATAATACAAACAGTATATTTGCAGTTTATTGCTTGCCATATTTCACTGTATCAGAGTCCACTGTTAATCTTAAAGCTCACCACGGAAGATTAACCATGTGAGCCTTTTGTTTACACAACATGAAATTGCCAATCATAGTAAATTGTCTTCATTGCTTTTTGTTTGGTTGTCCTCAGTGTCCAATAGAATGGTTCCACTACGGTTGTGTGGGCCTCACCCAAGCACCCAAAGGAAAATGGTACTGTCCTCAATGTACAGCGGCCATGAAGAGAAGGGGCAGGAGATGACACACATAGTCATTAGACCAAGAGACTTCTAATAGTAGCTTGCATTTTCATGAGCAAACTTCATTTTTCACTTTTTGCTACTGATGGCTGTCATTGTGCATTCATTCTCATGTTGACTGGTTGTACACTGTTGTTTTGTATCTGTATTCAGTTATTGGGAGAGCTGCCGGAGTATCAGATCAAGACGAGGTCAGTTTATGTATTACAAACTTAGAAGATAGTGTTGATTCCGACGATGGCATGGAGAGCCGACCATGCAGTAACAGTAGCAAATCACTGAACATAACATTGCCTAGAAAAACAACTTACCTACTTAGTCACTTCTCTTCTACCTTAAGGTGTAGAGGTTTGCCAGAGAGATCGCCAGACGTCTTTATCAGCAGTTTTCTTTCTCGCTTTCTTCCATTCCAGTCCTCTGTCAGTCAAGGACTGTCAAATGTTGTCTTTCCAGTGGACCCTGGAGGTCTGGTTCCCTGTTTCTTAGCCTTCCATGGTGGCCAGTTTTCTCCCATTCTGCATACATGTTCAAACCATTGAGACCAGAAAATCAACAAATAGCTAAAATATGCTGAAGTTGTTTTATAATGCACCTCTGAGATATACGCAACTAAATTTCTTTTTCTGCTGTAGAATTTGAACTCTGGCTGCTCAAGGACCGTGAAATTGTCTTCTTCTTTTTTCTCAGTGTCGTCTTAGGATTGCAACCATTTATACAGTTGATTGAAGAACACTAAGTGAGATGGTTTGGTCATCTGACAAGAATGTCCTGGTATCAGCTGCCACAGAAATATATGTGGTGAAGAAATATAATAAACACAGAGCCAGGGGAAGACCATGCACAGTTTGTAATGACATCCTCAGACCCACACACACAAAAAAAGGGAGGAAATGAAGACCAGCTTATACAATGCATTCAGAAGCCCCCCCCCCCCCCCCGCTTCCCCCCCCACCCCCCACCCCCGGACATACTTGGATGATGTAACAGGAAAAAGAGAAGAGAAAAATTGAATGAACTCATTGTTTTATTGACAAGAGTCTCTGGTGAAACAAACAGATAAAAAAAAAAGACACAAGTTCCCGGCTTAGACGGATGGAGATTTAAAGTGTTTCATAACCCATCACTTCCGTATTTGAGAGGTCTGGCCTGTTTGGTTGCAGAATGAGCAACAAAAACTACATACATAGTTACATGTAATAAATATGGCAGTTTTTCCTCATGCCCTTTATTTCCCATTGGAGCATAGACCCTTTAGACTTGTTTATACCATTTGGATTTCATAGCTGATATTTTCACTGAATTTTTAAACGCTGTACGAACATTTGCTGCGGCGAAACATTTTTCACAATAAAATAAAATCAACACTTTAATGATAGAGCACTTTTTTTAAACTGAACCAATTTTCACATGCCAGAATGACAATGTCCTCACTGTTGGCAAATTTCCACAGATCTTTTAGCTTTTTTTTTTTAATTGGGACTAGAAAAAGTAAGGCAGGGTCAGCTGTGAAAAATAGGGGGTGTGAGTGAATTTTAAGTTTGAGATCCTTGTCTGCTAGCTGAACAAGCCATGCTTTGTGAGAGGGTTTATTGTCTGCTAGCTGAACAAGCCATGCTTTGTGAGAGGGTTTGTTGTCTGAAGCTGAAGAAGATTTTAAGTGAATGATGTGTCTCATTTTCTGGTCACAACCTTTTGAAGTAAAAAGATCAGCATAGTACTGCCACATTGTCACAAGACGGGTCATTTTTCAGTAGCATAATTTTGGCATCTAAAAACACAGTCTTCTTTATTTGGTTGTCCCCCACATGGTTTTCACTTATGAAGGCCAATGGGTGCTGTGATGAGTGTCATGAGCAAACTTCATTTTTCAATTCTTGCTACTGATGGCTGTCATTATGCATTGATTCTCATGTTGACTGGTTGTACACTGTTGTTTTGTATCTGTATTCACTTATTGGGAGAGCTGCCGGAGAATCAAGATGAGATCAGTTTATGTATTACAAACTTGAAAGATAGCGTTGATTCTGACGATGGCATGGAGAGCCGACCATGCAGTAACTGTAGCAATAGCAAATCACAAAACGCAACATTGCCTCGAAAAACAACCTACCTACTTAGTGGCTTCTCTTCTACCTTGGGGTGTAGAGGTTTGCCAGAGAGATCACCAGACTTCTCTGTCAGCAGTTTTCTTTCTGGCTTTGTTCAGTTTAGTTTAGTCGACGGATCAACATCATGGCACATGGATTAAGCCATAGCGCTCCCTTCTACTTCTAACTCAAGACTTGGTGAAGAATTTCAGCGCAGTGCACAAACTCCGTTGCACCGGCGAGGATCCTAAAATATTTATAGGTAGATCTTTAGAGAGCATATCTTTATTGTTAAGACCCCTGGAGATCAAGTGAACAGTGCCTAGGAACAAATAGATCATCACGGTCTGGGGAGAATAGTGACCTGAGGAGTCACCTGGCAGACGCTTAACACTCAAGGAAAAGGTGAGATGGATATACAGTCAGATTGTTACTGGTACCACCGGAGCTGGAACTCTTGAACTTTCTGCTGACAATTGGGATGGAGGGTTTATGGGAATGCCCCAACTGTTGTGATGTTGATTCTTCAGAGTTTAACATTCAACAGTGGTCATTATTTGTGGTGCCTGTCCACAAAGGCAAAGAACTTATTCCCCTATTCCCGTTTCTTCTGCATGTCTGCCGTGCTCAGTTCACAGTCTAAACACAGTGGTCTTTTTCTTTCATGGGAAAAAAAAAAGTTCATTGGGTCTTTGGGATTGAAAACCCAACTTCCCCCCTGTATTGAGGGTAAAAAACATGTTTTCCACATGTTTCTGTTACTTAGCTTGACATATGATTGGCCAATTGTGTTTTTCTATTGCATGCTGACAATTTTTGAGGGGGGGGGGGGGGGGGGTCATAATGGTGAACCCAAGTGTCACCTACTGACACAAGATTGTCAGACTGTTTTGGCAGGAGTTAGTTTGAGGGCCTATATTTCACTGGAAGAAGAAGAAAAAAGATAATTGGATACATTTTTCCATTCATTATAGTTGTTGTGGTTGTAGTGAATGTATTGTGAATCATAGAAACTAATTTGATTATGTTTAAGAATCGGTCTTATCATATGTTGGTTGAAACAGAGGGTTCTATAACATGGCCAAGGGGCAGATTGTCCATTTTTTTGTTTGTTAATTGAATGTAAAAGAACACTTTCCTTACCATGGGGTGCCTCAGACATATGGTGCTGGGCCGCGTTTTCTAGACCAGCCGGCACTTGATAGGTGCTGTTATCAGCCCGCTGACCACCTTTGCTTCTGAGGGCATTTCCTGGTAGCAGTTTGAGGCCTGGGAAGTAAAGACCAGCTATCACGATGATGGTCGCATCATCTCTGAGTGCTGATTGGTGTGTGAAAATCTGGATTGAGCCTCTAATTCCTGAAATGCGAATGACATACAATAAGAAGGAGACAAATACTATTCATTGGTCACATAATGGGAAGAGAGACATTGGAGAACATCGTGACAACTGGAAAGATCAGTGGGAAAAGGGGTAGAGGCAGACCAAGGGAGATGATGCTGGAAGGGCTGAAACGATGGCATAGAGGGATTTCATCAAGACAGCTGTTCCAGGCAACCATGGATCGTGATCTGTGGAGGCGCATGAGTGCCTACGCCAGTTGGCAGGGGTCTTCTATCCTTTCTAGCATTTGAAAGAAAATGGTAAAAATGAAATTATTTAATTAAGTGAAATCACCCGAGAAGGCCAACCCAAAATGCCAGAAGACGTATAAATCAGCTGAAAGACACAATGATTGCAGCACTGCTGTAAACAGGCACATTGCAATTACATCCTAAACAAAAACATTGGATGAATGTAGAAGAGGAATTGAAATCACAACAGAAGAATGAGAACAACGATGCATGAACAGTGCTGCATGTCACAGGTTGTGAAGGAGTATCATCAGTACCAGCAAGTGAGTTGTTTGATGAAAATTAACATATTCAATTATAAATATCGCGAATCTTTTATCGTTAAAAAATGTTTGATTTGGCCAATATTTGCCAGAACAATCAGTGGTTATATTTTTTCCTGCACTTGTATATTTTTATATGGTTTTGCTTGTTGATGTAGAAAAAAATAAATAAATAATTTTGTCAGCAGTTTTTATTTGTATGAAAGCCAAGAACATTTGTAGTCATGGGTTGCTCAACTCCTGGGTTGCTCAACTCAAGGGTTCTACTTCAGACAGTCTTTCGGTTTGTGAGTGCACGTGTTTTGCGATCCCCATGGGTCATTGATTTTTGTGTGGAGTTTACGCTTTGTGCAGTGCTCTCATAGAATAACAGCCACTTTGTGGAGAGAGATCAAGTCACATGGGATAAAGTCCAGCCTAGTTAAGTTGATCCTCATGCATTAACACTTGGGAGAAAGAGCTTTTTTGGAGTTCAGTGCCAACAAAACCAAGCCTTCAGGTGGGGATTCTCTTAGTTTTTAAAGAAATAAAGTGTTTAATTAACATATACAAAACTGTATATTCGTGTAGGCAATTAAACGAGCTAAAAGAATTTTAATGAATCAAACTGAAATCTCATTTATTCAAATTATTCTGATTTGCATTATTTATGCAAGATTTTTTGTGTTTTGTTTTAAACTTGGGAACAGTCATGAATAACATGAAACATTTGGGTGAATTTTTTTGATGGATGAAGCCTGAAAAAGTCCTTACACTCGTGTTTTGGGAAGGCACTTTAGATACTTCTGGCACATGGTTCTACTCTTTTTCTTGCCTCATGCTATGATGCAATAGTCCTTTTCGCCATTGTTGGGCACAGGTAACCACACACAAATTAATGTAAAGTTACAGAACACAGCTGAAAGCTAATATTGAACCACCCACATGTGTAAGAAATGCGAGAAGCAATTTCACCTGCTGGTACGAAAACCTGCCCGCCAATCTCAAGACTTGTATTATATAGGACTGACTGATTAG